AGCGTGTGATTTAAACCTGGTAATAACGTCCGAAGCCTCGCGCGTCGTTAATTCATGTAGTTTTACGGGTATCTTTCTCTTTCCGTATTTCAATTCAACGAAAGGAGTTAAAAAAAACAATGGCGAGTGGAAATAGTCGCACACGCTCGTCAATTTCTCCCATTCGACTCGACTGTTCAATCCGAGTATATTTAAATTTCGCGCTTCGTAAGCAAGGAAAACTGAATAATCTCCTTTCACAATTTTTTTGTGTTTACACAAACCGACATCTAATTGATACCTATTCATCCTTTGTGTGATAGCAGGAGGTGAGATTTTTTTCGCATAGTCATGTTCTGCTAGTTTCTTTCTTTTTTTCGGTCAACAGGTTACGTGTATTCAATCACATCACTGACGCTGTCAGATTCATCTACCAAATTTTAGGCCACTCGAATTTCGCGCTACGAAAGTTATCCTATTTTCTTAGTTTGCATAAAGCGCTGCGCAACGCCTCCCATGATTTGCTTACCGTAGCGTAAATGCAGAAGCCCAGCAAAAACTTAACACGCGAAAAAAATCACAACCCTTGATTCTTTAAATGCCGCCTCACTTGATTGAGAACAAACATAAAGTCCAAACGTCCGCTTTCTACAAAGGGAATATTTGGGAAAACTGTTGATAGCTTTATAATTTTAATAAAGACTATTAAAATCCGTCGTAAAACTATGTAAGCTCAAGCAAGACCTGCTTTTTTTTTCTCCGAAAGAGAATATAGAACAAACCAAAAACAAAAAATTCGAAACTTCTCAATTGCGAGACTTGTGAGTAAAATATCACACTCTCGTCTTGCCGCGCGTTTGATTGAAAACGAGAATAACTCAAAATAGATGTTCTACAAACAAACATGTTGGTTCTAAAAATGATGAGTGCCTCGTTTGAAAACAGCTGTGCGCCAGAAACAAGGTCTTTAATCGCCTCGAGGCTCTCCACAGAAAACCGTCACTTTCGATTGTATTTAACACCAGTAGTAAGACCAAAAAATATATTTGTACGTTGAAAAACTGACTGGTAAAAACCAGGCGACTTGACTTACATATAGAGAGAGAGGTGGTTTGAATGAGTCACTGCAATAGGGATAAATTTAAGTTACATAGAGCGCTCTCTTTCTCAGATGTTACTCCTTGTTCACAGTTTTCCTATGGGGAAATGTCAGCCGGCGACTAACAAATATTTATTTGTCCCCGTGTAAAAGCCAAAGGAATATCAGTCTATGCTTGAAATTAGAATATCGTTGGATATGCTTATAAAATAATTATTGATGAAAGCAAAAGCCATCATGATCTTGAATTGAACTTAACAAAAAATTTATAGTAAAAAGGAGAGGTTCTGATTGATCAAAACTGTGTTGTTTTAAAATAAGATAAATACTCATTTTCTAAGAGTTCTTCTTGTCATTTTCAGGACAACTTTTACCATTTCTCCCTGCTCAAAGTCTACCTTCACTACAACATGAAATGGACATTAGGGACCTACCCAACGTAATATAACAAGCCTTCGTGGACTTCTGTACAAGAAATATACAACATTTTTAAACTTCAGTTCACTGAAAGTTACTTCCAGTGTTTTCTAGTGTTCGTTCATGCCAGGGAAAAGAAAATTTCTTTTCATTCAAGAATACAGTTGGCGAGTCTCTTGATCACAAATTAACCTAGACAAGTATCCCCCCTTGTATAAAAGAACAAAAAAACTTCCCCCAGTAAATTCAAAGTGTCATGAGGAGACGCAACTTGTTTAGTCTTTTTACCAATACTCTTCGGCAAAACTAGCTTTATCTAGGAGCCCATTATCGAATAACTTGTGTGGGACTCCATATCTCATTTTGGCTAAAAGAACACTTAAATTCACGTATTGGTCATGGCGATCCTATTTGGGAAGTTTCTGTAATGTGACGGACCAGTTTTCCAGTCAGTTAGAGTAGCAGTACTTAAAAAATCAACGAATCAATAACTAAAGCTGTGACATTTACCTCAGCAGAGCGGAATAAAGATCGAGCAGCAGCCCGAATCTAAAAAACAACAGGAAGGTTCAAAAGTAATTTTCGAGTTGAAGGTGCAGGAGCAGGATAAATATTCCTATCAATGGCTGAAAGATGGAGCCGAACTGGAGGGAAAATGCGATGCCATCCTCATCCTTGATAACGTTGAGCTCCGTGAATTTGGCTGGTACAAATGTCGAGTTTGCTCTCGAGAAAATTTTGCAATCAACTGCGAGTCATCACGGGCATGGCTGGATGTTGTCCCTAAAGTTCAGAGAGGAACAAGTAAGAACTGCTCAAAGTGTGATAGAACCTTAATGCCTTAAATCCTTTATGTGAAAATAGCCTGCACGTGCCTTATACTAGCTATGGTAAACCTCCCGAGGAAAAAACCTTATCGAACATGTTATCTTTTGCGAAAGATAACTGCTTATAAATTACATGCAAGCCTCCAGTCTTAAAACTCTCACACACTATAAAACAATAAAACACGAATCTCTTTGCAAGACTGGGTCTAAATGTCCTCAAAATAGCTCAAAATGGTGCGCTTATTCAGATGCATGGAATTTATTAATTTTTTTCTTGTCGTTGTACAACACATTAAACAACTTTGATTAGTTATTTAATTGTCTCTTTCTCCTGATAGGACTAAAAACGTTTATAGAGGTAGACCTATCAACTTGTGATACGATAGCTTTCTATCTGGATAGAGATGTTCCATATGGCCTTGGAGGTAGCAGACAGGCGGCCGCTGTGTTTGGAATGACTAAAGACATGATCGGAGCACTTGGAGCAAGCAAGTACCCTGGACAAGTGATCGTCGAATTTGTGAAGGCAACGAAACCAGACATAACAGTTTACGAAGTCTTAAAACAGTTCAAGGGCGACGAAATGAAGCGTTTTGACATAGCAAAGATATTAGAGAACCATCTTACAATTACTGAAAGTGAAGTCTAGTTCAAAAGCTAAAAATCTCAAACTATATCTTAATTTTAAAAACAGTAAAATCTTCTTGGAACATGTTCCAAGTTTCTTTAGGTGCATACGTAAAATTTGCCGATCAGTAGGACCTATTTTGTAGTGTAACAAAGAGCCTTTAGAAAATGCGCTTCAAGAACAATTTAAAAATATGCATGTAATAACTCCAAAGACCAATCAAAATATTTTCAAGGAGCTACTAAAAACTTAGGGAAAATGTCTGTCTCGTGAACCGTCTTTAAGCTTGGGAAAACGCACGCAGACCAACTCAAGTCTTCGTGGATTTTAGGTTTTGAATTTAATTGTCTAGCGCCAGGCGTTAGTCATAACCAAATACACAGTAAAGGAGAACAAAACCAAAACTATCCGCCTTAAAAGCGCTTTTGACGCTCAGTTCAAAATCCGCCCCTGGCAAGCAAGCGAGTACATGTATAGGTAAGTTAATGAATAAGTGAGTAGGTGACGAGTAACTGAGCAAGCGGATACGTTGATGGATAGGTTTGCCATGGACCCATACCAAAGTTCTTATTTTGGCTCTTGTAGCCAAAATTGCGGAGTTTTGGTAAGGGTGTTGTTGTTTATTCGTGAGACCCTTGTGAAAGTGGTAAGGTCAAAGATGCGATATCAAACGTTTAATCCTCTGAGATCAGTTGGCTCGCATGCTCGCTCATGCCTACCGGTAGCGAATGTAAGGAAGTGTAGTGTAGGATTCATTGTCATTCAATCAGAGTTAGACAATACCACTAAGGATCAGTCAGAGACATTAAGTCATTAAGAGTGGTCGACGAAAAGGAATAAAATTTGACCTTCAAAGATTTTCTAACACTGATCGTGTTGAATTGGAGTAAAGATATGAACACCCGAGGAATAAAATTCATAGAAAATGTTTTTTACTCTCTTGATTCCTATTTATACATGGTTTGTTTCTTTAACAGTATTCAACTCTTTGAACAAGTTTGTGGCTCTTGTTTCAAATCTACTCTGATATATATTTTAGCCATCAAGATAAGCTAAATTTAGACCTGACAACCTATTATCGTGACAATATAAGTGCTTATCGTTTAAGGAATACGGAAAACAAATTAGTTCTTCCACAACCTCGAACTGATTATCTTAAGAGAAGTTTTTTGTACAGCGGAGCTCACTTGTGGAACGACTTACCCTTAGACCTAAGACAAGTGTCTTCACTGACCGATTTCAAATCTAAATTAAGTCGCCACAGTTTAAAGTAATATCTTAATTTTAAGTAAATTTTAGACACGGCCTCCATGAAAAGCAGATTTTTCATTTGTTTCTTTTATTTGAATTGTTATTATTAGATTTTATTATAGTTAGGAAGATAGATATACCTTTATAGATAATTAACAACTGATGGAAATACCGTGTATAAATAAAGTTATCTTATCTTATCTTATCTTATCTTATCTTACGATAAGGGTCCAAGGTTTAGCCAACAAGAAACCACAACGCTCATGGGGGGGGGGGGGGGGGTCTTATAGAAATTTTGATCTTTCCAACATATTTTCATATTTTTCCCTTTCCCCCCTCCCTCTTACCTCTAAATAAATAATGACCAGTTCCTTAGCTTTGGTTTAGCTGTTTTATCCCAGCATAACCAAAGAGTTACGTTATCTTGACTCACTCTGAGCCAGATGTTGTTCTAGGACAGATAATTGGGTCCATTTAGAGGGTGTTTAGACTGTGTCATGAAAATCGCCCGCCAAGGCAACCTTGTAAACGACTGTCGACACTGTTACGTGACAACTCCAAAGTTGGTAATATTTTGCCTTAGTATAGTTTATTAGGGCTCCGCAAATTTGTTTTATTCTCGTTCATTTTTCTCCTTTTTAGTTCTCCATTTTAAGAGTTCCCTTGTATTTTTAGCTTTTACGAGTGTAACAATGCGTCTTGATATTGGCCCAGCCGGCTAGCATTGACGCTTGTGCTCTTCCGTGCTATGACGTCATTAAGTAAGTTTATTTCTATTTTTAGCACTGTTGTCCCTCCTGTAAAAGACGTTACGCTTTATTGGAGTTTTCCAAGGTTAGAGGGCTGCACCTTTCTTTTGCCACTCGTGTAATCCATTCTGTATTTTTGGAAAATTTCATTGGGAAATGGAGTTGTGAAGATAGTTGATTAATGATTAATGCTGACGTACGTTTGCTGGTGAGATCTTATTGTTCGGTGTGTTTCGACAAGTACTCTGATGGTTCTTTCACCATATCATCTATAACTAACATTTCACTTGCTAAATGCTACTATTTTAAGTGTAAGAATAAGCGCTGTAGTTTAGGGAGGGAATTCAGCGTGGTGTATCGGTTCGTAACAGCCATCTCCAACCACTCTACGGAGTGATCGAGCCTTTTCGCTTCTGCATGTTAATCGGCTCGTCAATGAAAGGTAATTGATATTTCTATAGTTATATAACATAATGTTGCGATCCAAAATTGTTTCCTTTCGCTCTTTCTCGTTCTCTCTTTAGCAACCCAGCTACACGAGGAATTATCCAAGAAAAGATATGCAAGCGACGTTATCGATTTGTTTATTGATCTTCGGCGTTTGTTTGCAAGTTAGTAAAATTATTTCCGTGCCTGTCATGGTAACAGCCGGTTTCGCTACTTGTCGAGTTCGCTACGTTCGAGTTCGCTACATGTTCTCTACCGCATAACCGAATTCGCTACTTATGATAACCGAGTTCGCTACCAAACTTTAACTTTATTAACATCCAAAAGACACAAATGACGACGACAGGTATACTTAATACATTCTATAAACTTCACTATCCATATATTTTCCATATTTGAGTTAAAATGGCCATTTCGCGTTGGTCAAAAATACAATAACACTCGCTTTTAGCATTCTTACGAGGTTTGACATTAAATTTCTCGAGAATGCTTGAGGGTTTCATCGCGGGGTCACTTAGAGAAGTGAATTACGATGAGATGTTTTAAATAGCATTCAAGAAGTCAGTGTTCTTTAAGTAGATTTTTAGTAAATAATTTTTGCACGTATTGCTCGAACTTTGAACGGAATCGGTCTTAATTGTCGCGCGTCTCGGCGTTGGAATGCGACACAACGTTAAACAGAGTTGTGCCATGTGATTGCTCCCACAACTTCTCTACTACAAGTCTTAAATTTTGCATCGAGGTACAAGTAGCGAACTCGGTTATGCGGTAGGGAACATGTAGCGAACTCGAAAGTAGCGAACTCGACAAGTAGCGAAACCGGCGTAAACCCCTGTCAGTTTAGTCTAGTAATTAAAGCGTGACCTGCTGAGTAATCAACAAACACGCTAACAGTTATTTTGTACGTTGAGCTGACGTGTTTCAACTACGTTCGAGTAAACGTCATCCTGCTAGAAAAAAATTGTTGTTACTTCTTTGTACTAGACGTTTGTGATTATCAATTACTGTAGTGTAAGGTAGTATGTAAACTATAGTTTAATCGAATGAAGTCTGTGAAAGGAAAAATTACCGTGTGGAAAAGGGAAGGAGAAAACACATATTAACTGAAGGATGGTTGTGTTCACCTAGCTAGGGCCTTTCCTATCATGTCTGTTACTACCAGACATGTTTGGACGTACTTTTACATCCCTCTGAGATTAGAAAGGCCTACTTGTTTCCTGAACTCAGAAAGAAAATTCTAAGAGTAGATGATCAATGTAATTTCGTTTGAACCTCATACTCAAGAGAGAAAATAGGATACAAAAATATGTTTGAGCTGTTTGAGACACCTTGAGAGATCTTGGTGAATGTTATTAAATTACTAGGTCCTCTATGAAAGGTCCTGGAACTCCCAGTAAAGAAAAATCTTGTGCCTTAGAAGTGTGAAAATCTTGTGACTTAGAAGGGTGAAAATTATTTTTTCTCGCATAATTCTACCCATCATCTCTGAGTGAAACAAATTGTGGGCGACAGTTTATAGTTTTAGGTTTTAAACCCATTTAATTTGATTATGCTCTTTTTGCTCTGTTAGGGAGATTTCTGTGAAAGTAATAAAATATGTCATGGAAAGCAATACACTGTTAAAAGTGCTGATGGAAACTTTGAAAAATGTTAGCCTTGTGGAGTCTGCAATGAGGGATGGGGGCTGGAACCAAAATGTGGAAGTATTGTTATAAGCCCTGTGAATGAAACTTATTGCCAGCGTTGCCATGATGGAGTAACATATTCTGACACTTATGACTCTTCTCCTTGTTATATATGTCAGCACTGTGCAGAACATGAGATTGTAAAAACATCCTGCACAAGTGATACAAACACCAAATGCAGTGGAACTTGTGAATATGGTTATTACTATAATGCTCAGGATGCATCGCATGCATGTCATGAGTGTTCTCATTGTTGTTCTGATGGAAAAGATGAGATACAAGCAGAATGTGTAAGACATGGCCTTGAAAAAAGACACTGCAGCCTACGAATGGATACAAACTGTGGTCCTACCATAAAACCTTCAATTAGCAGCAATACTGGAGATTCAGGAAAATTTAAGCCAATTTTCATCCTGTATATTTGTATTGGTGCACTTGTTGGTGTAATAATTTTACTTGTTGCAGTATTACTTAAAAGAAGAAATGCTGGTCAAAATAACCTGTCAGTGGACACCAATCCTGAGCAGGGTATTAAGCAGCATGAGGCCCAACCAATGATTCACATAAATGGACGTGCAAACCCTCAGCTTGACAACAGTAATCTGACAACTCCAACACGTAAGAATTCAATAGCTACTGATTAACACGTAAAGTGCCAAGTCAAAGCTATGAAGAGATACTGAATACATTACGCTATCATTAATTTTCCCTTGCAATTCTGAGTCCTAAATAATTATTCAGCACCATAAATTTAAAACACTGTATGATAGCCTTAGAGTGATCCATTAATGATATGTGGCCATCTTAGATGATGAGTGCACTTTGTTACATTTTCACTTGTTTTGTATCTCTCAAATCTAATTTTATACTACAAAGGTGGAGTCCCTGTGTAACCTGATTCCTCATTGAGGGGTATGCATAGTTGCAAACAGCAGGCATGATGCAATATTGATAATGTTGAGATGTAAGGCTTGCCATTGATGTATACTTTAACTAGAAACATACATTATTTAATGTTCCCAAATGTTTTCCATCACAGAAAGTGGAAAATACAACCATGAGTCTACACAAGTTTCCAGTGGCACTACACTTCACCCAGTTGTCTCTGAACTGAATCCTGGTTATGCTCATTCCAACGCAGGAACACCTCGTGTGTCACCCAAGGGAACACCTGATTTATCCAGGCAGCAGGATGGTTTGTAACTTCATATCATATACATAAAACATAGCCAAACTATGTGTCAAACTATGATTCCTTGCTTTTAAATGAACCTCAAATACTCAATTCCATAATGTTTTGTATTATTGACTATAGGGCAGATAAAAATTATCCAGCATCCTACATCTCAAAAACAAACAGAAAGATTGCATGTGGAATTCTCATGCAAATGTGAGGTACCTAGTGGAACTCAAGTTTTGTACCAGTGGTTCAAAGATGACCAAGAACTTGAGGGAAAAACCTCGGACACTCTCCTTTTGGATTCTGTTAGAATGCAAGATTTTGGGTGGTACAGATGCCAGGTTTCTTGTTCAGGTGACACAAGAATGGAACCAGTTAAGTCAGGACCCGCAGAATTGAATGTTACTCCACGCCCTGGAAAAAGTGAGAATTATTGTTTTGTTTTGTTTGTTCTTTTTTTTGTTTTATATGAAACACAAATCAATGAGCCACTGATATGGGTATGTGAAAGAAAAGGTAAATTCCTTAATCAAGCAAAGGGGCTCATCTACCCTGCCAGCTGGTGTCTGTATCATGAAAAGATTGGGAGTGCTGCTACTCCCCCAGGGATGCTGGTCAATCCCATTTCACCCCCCCCCCCCACTTGTCTTTGCGTGAAATAGCTTATATTGCTGCTCTACCTTCAGTTAAAACTTCTTGCAAATGGAGAGGGGGCATAACTAGAAACATACATTATTTAATGTTCCCAAATGTTTTCCATCACAGAAAGTGGAAAATACAACCATGAGTCTACACAAGTTTCCAGTGGCACTACACTTCACCCAGTTTTCTCTGGACTGAATCCTGGTTATGCTCATTCCAACGCTGGAACACCTCGTGTGTCACCCAAGGGAACACCTGATTTATCCAGGCAGCAGGATGGTTTGTAACTTCATATCATATACATAAAACATAGCCAAACTATGTGTCAAACTATGAATCCTTGCTTTTAAATGAACCTGAAATACCCAATTCCATATTGTAAATGTTTTGTATTATTGACTATAGGGCAGATAAAAATTATCCAGCACCCTAAACGTCAAAAACAAAAAGAAGGATTGCGTGTGGAATTCTCATGCAAATGTGAGGTACCTGGTGGAACTCAAGGACTTGAGGGAAAAACCTCGGACACTCTCCTCTTGGACTCCTACGTGTAACACGTGCCTACCCAAAAGTTAAAATTTTGGAGAAACCGGAAAAGTAAACACAATGCGCAGTAAAGTTTGACAAATCTTTTTTTCCCAAAAACAAGCTCACGTGAAAGAAGACCATTTAAATAACTTACTATCAACGAGGAAAGCAATAGATGCATATTAAGTTTTTACTCTAAAATCAAGATAAAAGATAAAAATCAGTAAATTTTTGCGCACGTGTCCAAAAAAAGTATGCGGATCGGATTTCAAAGTGAATATGCAAATTTATCAGTGTGTGGAGAGATCTCATGTTACATGGAAATTATAAATGAGGAGAAAGACAAACCTGACCAAGGAACGTTTCAGGAAGAAAGCTTTATTCAAAACAGTTCTTGGTTTTCTGTTAGAACCGAAAAACGTACGAATTTCTTACGTGTGCGAAACCCACGAAGTAGAATTCATCATGCTTAGATCGATGTTTACTTGACTTCACGGCTAGAATATTGCGCAGCGTTGTGTTGAAAATACTGAAAGTTCTACGTTTTAACACAAAATCTTCAATTAAACAATACTTTTTGGACATCTCATTACTCAAACGTGATATTTACCGTGCCTTTGAATCTTCATAATGTCTCTAGGCCTCGCTTGAAGTCCGATAGTTTGGTTTTCGCTTTACGGCCCTAATTCGCATCGCTTTAGAGAATTGTAGTGTTGTCGACTCGAAAGCTTATTTTGTCGCCTTTAAGACCGTGATGTCCATTATTTTTCGAGCAGATTATTCTATAGCATTTTTCCTTTTCATTTTGTGTTCCAGAAGGTCTAAAATGGTGGGAAAGGAACAGAAAATCCGACTTGAAAATATTGAAAGTCGGCCGCGCGTACGCCATTTCTTTGTAGTTGATCATTTCTTGTGAACGCATAAAATGACGCCTCTGTACTACCCCCTAAAGTTATCAATATAACTGCGCAAAAACGGATTCTGATTGGTTTATAGATCCTCTAACAGCAGAGGAAGTCTGGAGACAAAATTCTGCTTAGTAGGGGAAAATTTAGAGGGGAAAGCGTCTTTCGCGCAAGTCCCCCACGCGGCACGGGCGGTTACGGGCGGTTAAGGTGTCAATGGGTTAGAATACAAGATTTCGGGTTGTACAGATGCCAGGTTTCTCGTTCAGGTGACACAGGAATGGAACCGGTTAAGTCAGAACCCGCAGAATTGATCGTTACTCCAGGCCTTGGAAAAAGTGAGAATTATTGTTGTGCCTTTTTTTTTAAATGAAACACAGGTTAATAAGCCAGCGATCTGGGTATGTGAAAGAAAAAGTAAATTCCTTCCTGGAGCCAAGGAGCTCATTTACCCGGAGTTTTTCTCAGCTGGTGTGTGTAACGTGAAGCGATTGATAGTGTTGCTTCTCTCCCTTGGATGGGATGCTGGTCGATGGCATGTTACTCCCACCCCCCCCCCCCCCCTCCTGCACTTATGCACTTAGTCAATTCATTGATACCCACTTATACTCCTAGATGGAGAGGCACTGTGGGAGTGATTTGACTTGCCCAAGAACCCAAAATATTGACCCAGCTAGGTCTCAAACGCGATCCTCTCGACCTGCTGTCCAGCGGGCTAACGGGCAATCTTTGTCTCACATAAGGTTTCATGGAGGGTTGTGTATTTGAGTAATCACTAGGGACAAAGCTAGAATTTCTCAGAAAGAATGTCCTGCCGATGTTCACGCTTTATTTTACTTCGTTTCCTATTGCACAAGCAGTAATACCGTCACGAATTTCTGCACGCCCGCGTGTTCGCTTTACGTGAAGTAGCTTATACTGCTGCTCTACCTTTTTTAAAAAACTTCTCACAAATGAAGAGGGGGCATGGGAACCTTAAGATCCCCTTCTAACATCCTTACGGCAATCTTAAGGCCTCCCTCTAACATCCCTTCGGGCCCTTGTTCTCTTTCTGATTTGTTTTCTCGGTGGTTTTTCTGTTGCGGTTTTTTTCCCTCAACTCAGGCCCGGTGTAAAAGCAGAACTTTTGGTGAACCGTTCTCAGATTGTAAACATGGAAATTTTCCTTACTACAGCCCCTACTCTCAGTCACGACTCGCGATATTTTGGAGACTTTAGGCCTGGGATTGCATTCCTTTTAGGGTCTCATTTCTCTCTTTGACTTACAGCTGGACATATGATTCCATTTTTGTGTTTGGTTCCTTCTTCTGTAGCTTTTGTTTGGCACTGAATATCGTATTTTTTTCCCGACAGAATTAAAGACTCTACGAGAGCTCGAATTTGATACAAAAAAACGAGTTGCTGTGCTTCTTGAGAATACAGCTCCAGGTGTTGGTGGATGGAGGGAAGTAGCTCATCGCTACGGAATGAATAAGGATTTAGTGAAAAATTTGGAGACTAAACAGGACCCTGGAACGCAGGTTATGGACTTTCTACAGGCATCTAAACCGGATTTACAAGTTTACAGCTTTTGCAAGACACTCAAAGAAAAAAATTGCTTCAATATTGTAAAAGTCTTAGAAGACGAGCTAGTTAATTAGTAACTCGTCTTTTCCGACGGTTATCGATCACTTCGTCGACATGTCAACTCGCCGACAACCAACTCGCGGACACCATTACTCAATCCAGTCTTTCCACAACTGCTATTCCGCTCAACTATCACTGTTGAGAGGAAATGTTTCATGGTTCGTCGCGCGTGGTAGCCACGAACTGCCTCATTTAGTCTTATTGTCACAAAGATGTAAATAGGCCACCGTTCGTGCATGCGTCAGGAATAAATCATTATAATTGCAGGAGATAAAAAGTGTTTTGCCCAGGTGCGTTGTTCTAGATGTGACAGTTAGTATGATCGGTGAGATTTGAGCACGGGTCGCTTGTGTTTTTATTGTACAATTTTACTAATAAAGTACATGTAAACACAGAATTATACACGGTTGTGAATTTATTTGATCTTAAAACTCGACAAAGACGCTTTCAAGTTTTCGAAAGTCGAGTCAGACATTTCATTTCATTTCATTTCATTTCATTTTATTTTTTATTTAAACACGGTCAATTCATCAGCCTAAAAAATACATATCACATACGCTAGAATATTTAAAACTCAAACTATATACCATAACACCAAAAGCTGTTTTCCGTGAGTGCCGTGCGTTAGACTTAAAGAATGTCATTGATCTTACGTTTAAATACCCCCAGAGACTCTGTGTTCCTTATATCGCATGGTAGACTGTTCCATAATGTGGCGCCATTGTAGCTAAAACTTTTTCGGTAATAATTAGTGCGCGGTAAGGGAACATTGAGCTTATTTTCAGAGTCCCTGAGGTCATAAGCAGAGTCACGCCACGTAAACTTTGAACACAGATACTCTGGAGCTAGCCCGTGCAGACATCTAAACATCATGGTGGCTTTGTGAATTTCCTGCTGGCGTGTAAGATTTTTCCACCTTAAAAACTCGAGTAGCTCAGTTGCATCAGCATCATAGTTAGAGAATGTCAACACACGGGCTGCTCTATTCTGCAATTTCTGCAGTTTATCTTGTAGCGTTTTCCCACAGTTACCCCAAACAATGTCACAGTAATCAAAGTGAGGTTTTACTAAGGCTTGATAAACGAGATGTAAGGTTGATGCTGGGATCAGGTGCCTAATTCGCTTTAGGGCCCCGATACCAGAGGCGATCTTTTTGGTTAATTTTTCGATGTGACTATGCCAATCGAGTTTATCGTCTATTATTACACCAAGCGATTTCGTAGCTGTAACCTGGCTCACTTGAGTATTGTTCACTGTTGGTGAACCTGTGAGAGTATTCAGTCTCTGCCTCGACTCTATTAGCATGAATTCGGTTTTGGTCATGTTCAATGTAAGTTTGTTTGCTTGTAGCCAGTTGAAAACGTTTGCCAGGTCTTCATTTAGACAAAACTGAACATTCTCAAGATTACTGCCCGCATATGTAAGGTGCGTGTCGTCAGCGTACATTCTTGGTTTACAATTTGATAAGCAATTTGGAAGATCGTTAATATATAATAAGAACAATAATGGACCGAGGATGGTCCCTTGAGGGACGCCGCATGTCAGTGAGTAGCTATTGGAAAGCGACCCGTTCACAGAGCATTTTTGTGTGCGGTTTTCTAGATATGACTGAAACCATTTGAAAGATTTGCCATGTATACCATAATAGTTTAGTTTCGATAGAAGAATCTGATGATCAACAGTGTCAAAAGCTTTCTTCAAATCCAGAAAAATCACTCCATTGATTTTCCCGTTATCAATATCATATGCCCAAGAATCTGTCGCTTCCAACAAAGCTGTTACAGTTGAATGATTAGCACGAAAACCTGACTGGTTTTGACATAGAATATCGTGCTCTTTCAAATAGGCATATAACTGTTCATAAACTATCCTTTCATACGCCTTCGCCACTATTGGAATCACCGATATTGGGCGGTAATTGTTTACATCACCGCGGTCACCCTGTTTATAAAGAGGGGAAACCCTTGCATATTTCCAGTCATCTGGGAACGTCCCTTGGTTAATAGATTGATTGAAAATATCACATATCGGTACACAAATAAGATCAGCACATTCCCTGACCAACCTAGCAGATATTTTGTCAAGGCCCGTTGCCTTTGACTTGTCTAGTTTATTTAAAAGTGAAAATACTTTATTTGGATCGGTGGGTTGGAGCTTAAATCGTTTATCTGTAGCGGTAAGATATCTTTGATAGCCACCACTATCGCAATTTATCTCACTGGCAAGTTTTGGACCAATATTAGCAAAGTGGTTATTGAATTCGTTTGATAGCTCCAACGGATTAGTTATCGTTAATCCGTTCACTTTTAGTGACGCCACTGACGTTTTCCCAGATTTTCGAAAGGTTAGCTCGTTTATAGTCTGCCAGGTCTTTCGGGAGTCGCTGGTGTGCTTATTAAAACTATTTTGGTAATAAACTAGCTTAGCTGAGCGTATTTACTTATTGGTTATATTTCTTTGTTTCTTAAATAATGCCCAATCGTTAGGATCATTTGTCTTGCTAGCTTTGATTTTTAATATGTCTCTATTATGCATAGAGTCTTTCAATTCAGAGGTAATCCATGGAGAACTCCTTGTACGAACACGCATCGTTTTCAGTGGGGCATGTTTGTCAGCAATAGCTAGAAATGTACATTTCCATTACTGCCACATCACGTTTGGGTTGGAAGACTCATATACATTATCCCAACATTGAGATAGGATGTCATAACGAAAATTTTGACGATCGTAATTTCGGAAATTTCTATATGTAATAGAATTATGTCCATTAGACATTCCGTTCTGGGCAAGTTTTCTATATACATACACCATGCTATGATCACTTATCCCGACGTGACAAACTCCCGAACAAACGATCTTATCTGAGCAGTTGGTATAGATTAAGTCAATTACAGTTGAAGAGGTGGGTGTTATCCTCGTTGGTTCAGAGATGAGCTGCTCGAGTCCGTAGACATCGGCAATACTCCTTAATTTGGATACGTCATTGTCATATCGAGTAGTGATCATATCACAGTTCATGTCTCCCAGTACAAAAGATTCTACATTTTCACTATCCAATTTTCCAATTAGGGATTCAAAAGGTGAAAAAATGCCAATAGGAGAGTCAGGTGGTCTGTACCAAGTAACAATCACAAAAGATTTTGAATTTGGCTTATGGATTTCCAAGCAAAGATTTTCTAATGCATCCATATGTAGGTTATTTCGTACAGTAAAGTTGATTGAGGTTTTTACATAGAAGCATACCCCTCCGCCGGATTTTGTAAGTCTATCGCGGCGAATTATTTCCGAGTTATTTTTCGTATCCCGAAATATGAACTTCATGATCTCGAATACTCTCGTTCAGTTTCGTTTCATTTATGGAAACAATATCGATATCATTGTTTGCTAATAGGATTCTTAGCTCGTCTATATGTGTTGTTAATTGATTAATATTGAGTGATGCCATTTTAAAACCGCGTAAAGGAGGCAATAGTGAGATAGATTTTTCGGCTCTTTGGTTGCTTAATCGGTCCCGCACGGCATTGACGGAAAACACATTATCTCATTCTAGGTGCGATTTAAAATTATTAAATGTCTGATTTGTTTCTTTCTTTGCTCTGAATTAACCCTGTTCTGCACTGAATTAACTCTCTTCTGCACTGAATTACCTGAAAACTGCATTTATCTTAACCAATCAGAACTGAGTAATTTTTCCATGTATATTATTAAAGCCGTAACAACACACGTGATGAAATACGATATGTCTTCGCGTGTGTTTGATATCGCCAATCAGCTGCTGATATGTCACTCGCCTTTCGCGCCATTCGGCCAGATTGATGAATAAACGGCAAAGCCTTCACCATTCTCAATCCAGGGTCGTTTGTCGGAATATTTTCGGATTATGGCTGCTAAAAAAATAATTTTTTTTTATTCTCCTGTTTACATAGGATTCAGAGGTTTACACGAGATAGACATGGACACAAAACAAGCCATCATTGACCTGCTTGACAAGAAGCGCCTTCCTGGCCTGGCGTCGTGGAAGTAAGCGGCACGAAGATATGGAATGAGAGAAAAAGAAATCTCCTTTTTAGAAAGTGCAAAAAGCCCAGCGGGAGCTATGTTGGAGAGTCTGGCCTCCCTTTCGCCTAATATCACTGTTTATTTCATATGTAAGACCTTTAAGGAGTCTGGACTCAGACGGATGGATGTTGTTAACGTCCTGTCGAGGCATGTTGTGACGCCCATGAAGTCAACTCGATAGAGCCAACCCTAAGTTTTCTCAACTTAATCAAGACAGCTGTTTAAGTTTGTGTCTTGTCTTTTACTTTGCATTCTATCATTCCCCGCTCACTCAAAGAATAGTTCGTTGAATGTGCAGCCCCCCCGTTTAATGTTTTCCTAATTTTATTACAAAAACAGACACATGATTCAGAAAAATAGCAGCAATTTTATTGCTTGATTTGGATAAATAAAGAGTATGCGTTGTGTAAATAGTGCGATTGTCCTGCGACAAATTAAAATAAGTTTACCAAAAAATTCGCTCATCAATAATGGTACTGAAACTCAAAAGGCATTGGGATTGAGAATAACCCTTAGCAGCCTCTGTCCCAAGCCCCATGCTGTCATGCGAACCGAAGGTCATGAAAGTGAATCTCCATGCATTCCAATGATTGCAGTCTATACTCGATAAATAATTGTAATAACGAAAAATCTACATCAGCTTCAAAAGCTTTTGACAATATTTCTGTACGTTCACTTCTAAAATAATTGCTATTTCAAAAAGTATATCACGTGTGCCTATTTTGGTGTCAATTTATGTCAAAGTTTCTAACATTATTAAATAAATCCGGATGACACTATGTAAATTTATGGCTGAACTTGACGCAACAACTGGCAATCGTCAGTGACCACTCAGTTGCAAGGGTAATCTACAGAAATTCCACAGTCGGACTCTAAAAATTGTCCGCAATAATACTACTACAACCAGCTTATGTAAAATGCAACTTACATCAAAATTCAGAAACATTTGTATGATAGCTGGAGACAACATGTGCGCGTGCTTTCATAGCAAGCTTATACAAATGTGCTTGGATACAAAAATCAGTCGTAATTGTGCATGTATAATACTTTCATCTGTTCATCTATGAATCTGAAATACACGTTATCAAGTATGGATGGAAATCTTTTATAAGAAAGTTTTCCTGAATATGGTTTACTCAGTAAACAATGACTAAATCGCTAAAACTTTATAAATACAAAAAATATAGAAAAAAATTGAGATAGTAATCCATATTTTCCTTATCAATGCAGTCCGTTGACTCTAACACACACAAAAATCAGTCGTAATTGGGCATATATAATACTTTCATCTGTTCACCTATGAAATCTGAAATCTTACCACCACGTTATCAAGTATGGATGGAAATGTCCTATAAGAAAGTTTCCCCGAATATGGTTTACTTAGGAAACAATGACTAAGTTGCTAAAACTTGAAAACTCTATAAATACAAAAAATATATATAAAAAATTGAGACAATAATCCATATTTTTCCCGTCAATGCAGTCCATTGACTCTTACACACTTATCTAACCGTTTTCATATTATCTTCTGGTCTGTAAAGGAGTATGCGAATTTTAGTCAGCATCTTTTCTAGTTGTCAAGGTCCTATAGAAATAAACTTACTCGAGGGAACGTTTCAAATTATACAACCTCCCTTTATACTGAATTTTGCTTATGGATCATGATCTAGTAGTCACACAGACCCTGAAATTGTCGATGCGATTCACTGCATTCAAAAGCGTCACCAACTTAACTAGAGACCATATTTGATCGCAACCTAAGAACTTCTATCAATAACTAATCCTTCTTATAATACATTTTCATAACTTCTTGAAAAATGTATGCCGGTTTGTATCGCTTAAAAAAATGATTCTAAGATGACTCGGAAAAGGGGAACGAAGAACGAAGTAAAAATTCACAAGGAGCCATTGAGAATCCTTGGTCAAAAAAGACAAACTGCCCACCTAAAGCTAATGGATTTGTTTTTTGTGTTGTTACTGATTTGTTGAGGAAATGGAACAGGTTTTCTACCCCAATGGAAGAGTGAAGTAAAGCAAATCCAAGTGCATTAGGTGACTTTAGATAGTCAACTAAAAAATAATCTTACTGTTCATTTGCTCATTGAATCGCCGCACCAAAAATATGGATTAAGTGATGTCACGTAAAGAGACTCTTAAACACGTACGTCCCCGCATGAAATTGTAGCCGAAAGATGAGCTGATAATACTTCAACAATGTCCAAACGCCGTATGTTTTCCTCTTTAAGATTCTTGCAAAAATCATACACTGTAAGTTTCGGGTTTGACGTTGTCAGGAACTCGATTACTTCTTTTCCGGCTGTCCCTAGGTTGTTTTCAAGAGCAAATATTTTATGTTTCTCCATTTTATACTTGATAGCGAGTTGCATCCAGGTTCGAGTCCCCCGTTGTTTCTTGGTCAGAAGGTTTCCAACCTCCTCTATAATATTGAGATCTACATCTCCGAGACATTTGAGCTCTGAAAGTAAAGAAACGAAAGAAGAATGGCAATGTTTCCTCAAATAACTTATATTACGTGGCGGAGCATATTATGCAGAAATACGACAGGTTCTCAATCAGTTGACAAATATAACATACTCCTGAGTGCTTCACCTCAAAAAATGCATATGAGTCAAAAAGCCGATAGGAGTTACGTAATTAAAATACATTACTGGACCAACTATAGTAGAATAATGTCCTAGAATACTCCAGAATATTCCAGAATGTTCAGTTATTTTTAATTGAAGCCTCCAACCCTCAGGACAAGGCGGGGAAATAACCGCATCATGCCTAGGTTTCACACACAAATTGGTAGAAACCTAAAGCAGATACGTTTTGAAACGCGGACAGCAACCGGAAGAAGAATAAAACTAATTGTTGTGTATTGAGCCCCCTGTGTAAATAGGTTCCAGCGTGCTTTGCGTTAGAGGGACGAACAAAACATGGCGGACCAGGCCACGAGGTTCACAATACTCGTTCTTGTCAAATACAGGTCACTAATTCTAGCGCACTTTGATGCCAATGCATCGACCGTAAGGTTGTCGTTTCAGTATTTACCTTCCGGCTATCGTTGGCCTCTCAAAACGTTTGTGTTTACGCTTCCAAATCAACAGCGTGATCTCACGGCAAAACGGGGAATTAATCACTATTGGTCAAATGCGGGGCATTACACCAAGAAGTAAGCGTTAATGGAGAAAGCTTGGGAATGAGGGGTCCTCCGTATTGGAAAATACCCAGAAATCAGTGGGTCGTTATTGCCTCCTAGTTGGCAGCGGTTGCGGAAAGAAAGCTAAGAATATTTGATGTTTTTTTGATGGCAGCATCCGTTGTTAAAATATACCGCTGCTTTTTTTCGAATTTTCTGGGGCGAACAGGTTTTTTCGTGATTCCAAAAGAATTTATTTTCAGAACAGCATTTTTTATATGATGTATTTGCTGTCTTTATGACCACGCCAGAAGCTCTGCAAGGATAATTTGACTCTGCAATTTTTGGTGTCTGAAAAATTGTACAAAAAAACCATTCAATTGTAGTTTGATTTTTCTTTGATCACGATATTGTAATACCATTAATATTTTATTGCTCTATATTCTGTTTCAATTTGGCGAATGCCAATAAGTTATGTGGATGTTTGAAGTAATGGTGTTTTTGTTATAAATGATGATAAAAATGGTTCATTATGATGACAATACTGAGCATCCCAGCTTTTTGTGGCTATTGCACAGACTGCAATGGTAAGGGTTTATTTTAAGAATATTTTAAGAAATATTGTCTGTGTTTTTCCAAAAAAGGTTGACATCTGTGATTTGACTTGGGTTTTCATTTCTTTTTAATTTTGATGACCCTGACTGTAGTAAAAGCAGCCTTAGTGACTGGCTTCTAACGGTCTTTTCTTGTCACAATATTAAACTGTTAATAGATATAATGATATCTTCACTGTATTTAACTGTTTCCTACTTCAACTCAGAGACTATTCCCTCAACAATACTTACTCTGCATAGGTATTAAATTCCCTGTCCCGTCCCAGAGGAAGGGGGTGGGGGTTTTGACAAATGGGTGCATTACACATAGTGTATAGTCAAGTGTTTAGTCATATATGTGGATATATTTAATATGATGTAATCAAGCATAGACTGTTGCAGAATGTAAGCATTTTTATATAAATGGTGCTCATAAACAGCAGTTGTGGTTATTACTTATTGAGCTGTCAATGAAATTGTGTCGCTGACTTGAGGTGTTGACCTTAACTTCACAAATGAACATATCTGTCCTTTATTGTTCAATTATTTATCATTATGGAAGGTGATTAACATTGAAGTCCCAACTGCATAAATAATGCACAAATCACACATTCACAGCCACCTCACTGCTTCCTGTGGGGTTATAATTGTCTCATTTGAGGGCCTAGATAAGAAATTGTGAATGGCTGATATTACCAGTACATGTAGTACCCAAAATAAATAGTAATTAGCAAATAATTCGCACTTACCCATTCCATCACTGGGGACAATGTCTAGTTCTGCAGGGAGAGATGTCACACACTCCTCACTGTTACCATCATCATACTTCACTTCACACTTGTAATTGCCAAAGTCTTCCACCTTAACTGGATCCAAAACGAGGGAAGAGTTTCTTTGACCTTGAATCTTGGAGTCATCTTTAAACCACTGATAACGTGCTTTTGTCTCTCCGGGGATGTCGCATTTAAATTCCACTCGTGAACCTTCTTTCTCTACTGTACTACTTCTGTATTTAGATTGCACCACAACCTTGAAAGGTTTTGCTGCAACTAAAAAAGAGTAATTTATTCATTATCTATTAACTCTTTAACTCCCATGAGTGACCAAGACAAAATTTTTCCTTATGATATAAATACAATATCAACCAGATAAGGGATGAGAATAAAGAAGAATATCAATTTGGGGATAATTAGTTGATCCAAGACTAAATTCTTTGAACTAAAATTTACAAGAATTGTATGGTTGACGGTAGGGAGAATTACAAATTTGATCTGGGAGTTAAAGGGTTAAATGCAAAGCATTCAAAGGTCTCCCAGCAACCTAGTTCTGTGGGGGAGGTTAGTGGGAGAGACCTTTAAAAGGTTATAATACACATAATTTAAAATGCCAGAATTCAAAAGTTTCTTACTTTTTGTACCATCATCTTTTTTTGGATCCTAAAAAAAATTAATCACAATCAATGTGAAAAAATTGATGTCCATTTATGATGGGTATAACGGTTTGGTGTTGAAGGTAGAAGTATGTACTACTGATTTAAGATGCACTCACTAAAGAGAGCTCTTTAAGTTCTCTAAACTTCATAAAAAACCATAGGTGGAAAATAAGATTATGCTGGAAAAATGAAATTGTAAGCTTGTGATTGTGATGTGGCCAAAATAGAGGTCACTGACAAAAATTTTTCAAAGATGTACAACAAGGATATTTTAACACCATATGCCATACAAAGAAGAATATAAATGAATAAATGAGGTAATTACGTTTCTAAAAAAACTGTGCCGCTGCATTGGCGGAAGAGTATAACAGGGTAATTGAGTATTATCAACTGAGTTGATAATGTAAATTGGCCACCGTAGAGTTCAAAGCTGATGTTTTGAGCATCAGCCCATCCCTCTGACGAAAGGCTAACGCTCGAAATGTCAGCCTTTAAACTCTTTATGATAGTCAATTTACAGTGTAGAATACAGCAAGACTTTCTTTTGTCATGTGATTAAGCCCAACTTACATGGACTGGATGTGACATGATTAAGGAGATTATTTACTTATTACATAACCATACAATGTACTAGACAAAATAATTTGGTGTCATCAACTGAGTTCATAAAGTAAAGTAGCCACCATAAAGAGTTTCGAAAGCTGATTTTCGTCTCAACGATTGATTGATTGATTCATAAGTCATCAACAATATTACTAATAATAAATAAGAACTAATAAACAATTTATTGACTAACCACTGTAAAGTAAATCAACTAATTTACTCATCTACTGGAAAATTACACGCTGTAATGAACAGTGTTACCACGGACACTGTTCATGTTAAGCATGTATAACTAACCGTAATTAATCTGTTCACCCCTCAAGTCACCCATTATCCTATCCAAAAAGTAGTTATTTTCTGTTAGTTACCATGGCGTTAAAAAACTAACAATTTTATCTATTATTTAACCAACCTGCAAGTTTTCCTTGTTACGAGTGCGATTGCCTGATAAAGTCCTTTTTAACATTGGCTTAAAGTTTGTAATTGGCAGGCTGAACCTTCTTGCTCCCATTTGCACATTTCCTGTGTAAATAAAAGAATGCAATTAAGATTTTCACCACAGAGTAACTTTCAATCCTCATAATACACAAGGCTGTGTTCTGTGCAGACTTTAACAGAGCTGTTCATGAAATAAATCCAAAATAAACAAATCTTACGCAAAGGCTTACCAGAGGCAGACTTCTGTGTCCCAAGACTATCTAATTCCTTTAATTTAATAAACTACATAAGTCCATCCTAATGGTAATTCTCTTTCTTTACTGCAACCTGCCACTTTTCTAGTGATTCTGTTTTACTTCTCTTATACTTTATCATGAAAATACAAAGTCCAGCCATCAAATTTGTCTTTCCTCATTAGCTATTTTAAATTTTCTAGGTGGCATCATGAACTATAAAATGAAACTGCAAAAAAAGTTAATTCCACATTTTGTAAATGACACTTTTCTCGTTCTCTGCCCTTATTTGTGTGTGCTGACATATCAACAAAACATTTTTAATCCCACATGCTGTCAACTAAATTAATCATGCTAGAACATTAAAAATACCAACCATTTTTCTCATCTGGATCCTGAAAGAGATAAAACATATATGATATGTCATGAAAGCTTACAATATATTTTATGATATGATATATCATGAAATATATGTGTACCGCATTTATGAAATGAATACCACTAATTTGAACTTAAGCCCTAGGAGTGACCTGCATCTAATTTCTTCTTACAGTAATACTGCTAAATCATTCATCAAGATCATGAGAATAACAAATGATTGCCACTCTAAGAAAATTTTAATGGTTAAGCAAATTCTCCTTGTCAGCACCAATTGATTTGTATAGAGAGGGGCACAGAGAATATGTATACTGAGGTTTGGGTGTAAAGGATTGATCTGATTGTTCAGTTCTCTTTTTCACACTTTAAGTGATTATTCGTTCTATTTACTGCTAGGAAATCTAGTATTTTGTTTTGGATAGAAATTGCATCCTGTGTTCAGTAAAAAGCAACATTACTACTGACATTAGCTGAATGATATAAAAAAATACTTGCATTAATGTTGGTAAAATCTTGAAGTTATTAATTTACAAGTCACTTGAAACTTAATACAAATCACAGACAGTAACCACATATCAGTAGAAAGACAATAAGCAAAATTTGTCAGAAGTACCTCTCCTAGTAATGGCTGATAGCGATCTTTGGACAGTCTCCTTATGGCCGTCTCTACAAGACTTGGTCTCCTAGTCATTGCTTGACCAACATCTTAAATTTGTAGGGCAGTTAAAATAATTAATGATTTAACATTGTTATAATTATAGTGTAATTAAACACACGAACAATTTCAGCATGTATATTGGCTGAGAGGTTACAAAATAAAAAAACAGAGACAAATTATTATACAGAAAGTTGAAACTGAAATTGGCTGCAAATTAAAGCAGAGTCTTTTTTGGATTATAACTCTCAAAATTTGAGAACTTAATATATCATAACAGCATTAAAAAAAGGATGTGATTTAAAGTTGTAAAATATCAGCGATGCACTGCAAAATACAGTTTTGACTGAAGCAAACCTAATGGGTGAATTATTAAAAAATCCTGTGAAAGTGTGAAAAGAAAGGTAGGAGCTATGATTATTTATATCTACACTGATTTTGGTGTGAATAATTCCAAATTAAATAATTTTATCCTGAAATCTAAGCATCATTTAATATACCATTTTTGTCTTGCCCTTTTTTTTCACCACTGTCTTCCTCTCTGGATCCCAACAAGCTCTCACTGGCACTGTCCCTTGATTCTGAAACAGTTATCAAGATAGCTAAATTTCAAATTTTAGTTTGAAAATATTTTTATATATAATTATGCATGATTGACACATTTATTTGAGTTGACTTGTGCAGGTAAACATCAAGTTCCCTTCTTTAGTTGCAATTTAAATTACATCTCCATGTATTTAAGTAAGGAGAGTTTAGTTTTGAATCAACACAGAACTCCACGGCGGATAAATTTATCTTTTCTCTTAACCTGTTGCATTGGTGATCATTGATTGATGTGAGACAGTCAAGTACTGTAAGGAAGACATTGTCAGGAAAATTATCTTTCAATCTTAGTAGAAATCAAAAGAGAAAATATATTAATAATGGTAGTAGAACCGAGTGGAGTACAATTTGGTGTGTAACCATAAGAGGGATTAACAAAATCAGATGACCGTGAAGCAGGAATCTGATATGTTAATCAGGAGTAGGACTACATACAGACTTGGACAACACAAAGTCCTGTTACCAATTATTAATCAGAACTGCTACAATCTCTGAAATAAACAAATACATTAAGAACAAACATCTTCAGCAGAGACAAAGTCTAAAGTAAAAAATTCCTCCATTTTGAAAATTCCTGTTTTTTTTTCTAGGAGTAGTTATTGCTGCTATGGTTATTGTGATCAATTCTGTGATTGGTGGATTAAGCTGAGACTTAGGGTTAGTATATGATTGGCTGCTTCAACTGTCCAATTACAGGTGTCTGATTACACTGTCCCATTACAACAGAATGATAAATGAAAAATGAAGCAGCCAATGCACCAATAACATTTGAAAATTACTAAACTGAGTGCATGAAACTTATTTGAAAGTGTGACCCTTGCTTATGTGTGATGTGGAAGAAATCAAATGAGAAACTTTAACATAATTACTGGAGATGCATAAAGTTAATATCACTCTTTTCACAATCTGCTCAATTTATAATGTTTCAAAACATATTATGCCCCGCTCATCACACTATTGGATAATGATGCTCACATCACTACCAAAAATTCTACCAACTTCGTTTGAACTTTTGAAATGCAAAGAAAGATTAATAGAAAGATATATAGAGAATAATACATGGGCGTACATAGATAAATACATGGAATTTCTCTTCTAGTGTTTAACTCGATAGCTCACAAGTGAGCGAGATGTCGAGTTGAACATGAGAAAAAAATTCGATATCTACAAGCAATCATGTATTATTTTGTTTATCATATAAACATGATAGCCCTTTACTGAGAAGAAAAGCCCACTTAATTAATGAATGAAAATAAGTGAATTTGACAATCCCTGATTAACAATCGCAGTGTGTGTTAGTGCTAACTCTTAGGATGGAAAATGCATTGAATCATGATTACAAAACCAACAATGGTCGTAATTATCAATTTACAAAATTCTCATTTAGTGACTTTTTCCTCACCAAAAAAAGAAGTCTTTTCTGACTGTGAACGGCCAAATCAGCCAGTGACAAATCTTCCAGTGGTTGATTTCATTCTCAGCTGAGAGAAATGCTAACCCTAAAGCCACTGAATACGTAACTTTCAGTTTTTCTCTTAGTATATTGGTTTTTTACCCCTTCTAGCAAAGTTTGAACCTCGTTGTCTGTCAATATATATTTTTTGGTGTTTTAGCCATCATAATTCGAGGAAGCTCTGACAAACAACTTGTATTGAGAATCGTGAAGGCTTTGCTGCTCATTCATCAACCTGACCAAGTGGTGCCAAAGGTGAGTGACGTGCCAGCAGCTGATAGGCTATATCAACATACTTGAAAAAATACAATATTTTTTCACATATGTTGTTATGGCTTTTCGCAGGGCCGGAAATCCCTGTATAACACCACCGTTTATGTGATAAATATCTCTATCTATATACACCTGTTTAAAAAACGTCGCAAATTTGAAATTGTATTTTGAAAATAGATTCGATCTCTTTTCCATTGATTTTGGAAATGTATAAATTAAAAATATTTATACACACCCATTTTCAAAAATACTTAGCAATTTGAAAATTTAAGAAACGTATGTACCTTTCAAAAAGGTGATGCATGATGCATGTATATTTCGCATTAAAGGAACAATCTTTTTTGTTTTTTTTGACAGCAGTTATACTTCCTTTTGAAAAATTATCCTTATAATTTATGTCAACAAATTTTTAATGAAAAATAAGGTATTCTGTATATATTTCATAAATAGTTTCAAATTGCAATGTTTTTGAAAATGGATATATATATATATATATATATATATATATATATATATATATATATTGGTAATTGTGAAGAACAGCTCCCCTCCACTGACAGTCGGCCGACAGTCAGCCAACTGTCGGCCAACAGTCCGTCAAAGCGAAATGAATAACAAAGTATCTGTTGGTCATAGCTTTTATTGCCCCTGCAGCACCCTCCAAGGTTTTGTCGCCATAGTTAAGAATTGTCTATGAGCATGAACTCGAATTGGCATCAATAGAAATATGCATGGGTTTCCTTAAAGAACTAGAAGCAGTTTGCAGGAGAAGACTTCGGCGAACCTGCCTAAGTTGTCCCTCCTAACACACAAACGGCTCTTTTAGGAGCCACCAATAAAAATAAAGTCATAACAATGTGAACTGATTTACTTGAAACCGTGAAAAAATTCAGAGGGGGATTGGGACAAAGTTAAAAATCCAAGATGGCAAACAGACCAGGAATCAAAGTGAGTGTTGGAAGAGAAATTGCCTAGAAATTGTGCTGAACTAACGTAAAAGAGCTAGAGACTATTGAAAGTTTCACTCTATCTTTTCGATGCAATTATCAGTGTAACAGCCGTCAATTCGATGTCAATTCCACGTTTTATTCGATCCGATCAACTACGCTCAGCACACCGTTCGAATACAATACCGTACAAGAAATCCTTACAAACAAGCAATTGTCTCTATCCGTAACCTTGAAAACTGCTGAAATATCCGTAATGCTTCCGTAATGTTCTATTCCTTCGATGTGAGACTAGTTAAACGATCCTTATCCGAGAAATAAAGGCGAAAATAACAAGCGATAAAAGCACATATATGCCGAGGTTTGACCTAGTGTCGAATGACAACACCTCGGCGCAGACTGGGCCTAGTGCACAGGACACCTAGCATTTACAATCAGGGGTTGTAAATCATAAACTTTTCAAGGCAATAATCGACCTAAAGTTACCGACATTTTACGGACAGGTTGCCAACACCTTACCAACAGATCACCGACAGTCAACCAACAGTTGGTTGACTGTTGGCCAAGAGATGTCCTGCAGGAAGTTATCTTTTCAACAAAACCTAAATAAATCTGTTAGCTAACTGTCGCTAAGCTGTTGACCAACAGATCACCAACAGTTGGCTGACGGTTGGCCCACTGTCCTTCACAATTACCCCATATATTTTGCATAATAAAATACATATGGTATATAATAAATATATATATTACCTCCTGCTTCCTTACTGATTTGTTGTTTTGAAATACGCTTCTTTCGTAGTTTATCCTTTTGGTCAGGCAGTTCACCTAATTCATCATCAGTTGGACAGGGAGATTCTTCTGGAGAGGATGGAGCATAACCTGAGTTGGCTTGTAATGTTGTTACTGTGCGGGATGGCATCACAGTACTTGAATCTGACTGTGTGGGTCCTTGGCTAGAGTAGCTGGTGTCATTCAGTGCTGAAAAATTGAAAGTATCAAATTATTTAAAAACTAAAACAAAGGTGTCATGTACAAGATTGTTTGATAACTAGTGCAGTTAGTGCAAAAATGCCATGTGTGTATAAATTAACTTAATTGATTTAAATTCAAAGAAAAATAAAGACAGGTTTGGAAGCTGATTGATATATTGACTTACACTCTCCTGTATTTCCTGTACAAGGCAAAAATGAAGAGCTGACCAATAGCCAGAAAAATTGCTGAAAAGCAAGTTAAATCAGCTGATTGTCATGGTAACAGCAGCAATTCTGTATGCTGGCAAATGTTTGTATCACATCCTTGTATCACACAACTTTGTGTTTTTGCTGTTTGCCTTCAGAGTGAATCATACATTTATTAATATGCATTAAATATATTTGAAATTTGAGATGCAATCTGCAAACTAATCTCCAGTTTAAAAGGTGTGCATTTGAGTCCTGACTGCAAGGTAATTATAATGTATTGATCTTGTGTTAGATGGTACTTATGTTATTCTCACAATGCTTCTCTTGCTCCTAAAACAATCATTGGGTCTTGTAAAACTTGGAAGAAACAGGTGATGGACTGGTACCAATCCAGGACTAAGGAGTGACAGCCCTCCCTAAGTGTCATTTACAAAACTGGTCTTTTGAAACTAGGATGAGCTTCAGCAGTGAGGCTCCTTGATATAAGCCTGAACCTAACATTTTTAACTATACTCTAACTAAAAGGATTGGAACCTAACTCACCACCTTCAGCAGTATCTCTATCATTAATCCCGCTCACTACCCTTTGTCTCTTCCTCCTAATTCTCCAACATAAGAATCCAAAAATTGGTGCAGTGACAAATATAGAAGCCAGCACACCAAGTACTATTGCGATAGTATTCTGAGTGCTGCTCTTAGTAGTATCACCAGTTACATTTCCACTGGTAGCGGGAGGGGCTGATTTGTCATGGTACTGCGTCACAGTTGTTGAAAAGGTTGTCCTAGTAGTTGGATGCACTGGAGTGCAAGTCTTATCCAATCGAATGCTACAGTATTGACCAGTAGCATTGAAGCCATGTTTGATACATTCTGGCTGTGGTTCGTCTTTTTTGTCAAAACAACAATATGAACATTGTTGACAGCTGTGAGAGACCTCAACAAAGAAGTATCCCTTATCACATGTTTTATTGCAACTTGTGTCCGATACCCTGGTGCAACTGGCAGATGCTATCTCATGAGGGGCACACTGTTGACAGTTTTTACAAGGGGAGGAGTCTAGCTCGGCAGAAAATGTGCCTGAAGGGCATACTTTGCAAGATATTTCAGACATTCTTTCATTTGTAAGTTGTGTTCCACATAGAGGATACGATCCCCAACCAGGATGACATGTGTCACAAGGAAAGCACTTCACAAAGCTCCCGTTTGAGCTGACAATAGTGTACTGGTCAACAGGACAGATTTTACAATAGACGTGATGTACTTCCTAGCAAGAAGAAATAGGAGAAAAACGTGTTTAGTAGCCATGGTTTGCTTTATGCCAAGTCTCACCAGGTTGCTAAATAAGTGGTTTTAATCAATAGGTCCCTTAAAGATTCACTCATTATTCATCAAGTATTCTTCTGTATAATTGTTTGCCATTTTTGTTGGCTAGTCACCCCAATAAAATGTTTCGTTTTCCATGGCCAACCATTTTGTGAAAGTCTTTTGGCAGCTCAGACGAAAAGGAAAAAGAAACAAAAGAAAAAAGGCAGACTAAAAGAAAAGAGAAGTCACAGAGAGCCTGATGAATGACTTAAAAAAAGTCTGGATAACTGTGTCAGTAATTCTCATCATTTTCTTCACCAAATTGTTTCTGACAAAATATACAGGCAAGGAAATTTGGTATAAATGTGGGTCTTTAGACAAGATAAAGTCTCTATCACCTGCTTTCAAAATAATATTGCCAGACTAAATAAAGATTTCAGTTAATATTTTGCAGGTTTTTTATTCAGCTGTTTAACTGGAATTTTTCTAGGTCTACTTTTTCATAAAAAAAAGAGTTGGACAGGCGATAAGAAGTGTACGATTTCATCAGTTTGACTAAGGAAGCACAGTACATATTTGTAAAGAAATTATTCATATGTCAATTTACGGACAAAACTTTTTATGTCAACAACACTTGTGATGAAAACTTCAAAAGCTGTCCTTACTCTTGTTAATTCCTAGACAAGTATCCTCGTCAAGTCTGCAGACTTCATTTTCACTATTTTCTCCATCGACACAGGGAAAAGTTAATTCTCCACGAGAAAAATTACCACGGGAAACAAATTAAGGAAGGACTAAACTGACTAGAGATATATTTAAATAAAATGTTGCGTGATACAAAATAAGATTTATATTACCGTATCGTTTCTTAACAAATGTGCCAAAGAAATTAAAGTTTGCATTACTTACCAAACAGAGGCTGGTAAAGGCTAAAAACACTGTTACAGACTGCATAGTGGTCCAGTGTCAAATACGAGCTTGTCTCATTTGTCTGTAGAGACAGCGTGGCAACAGAAAGCTTCGCTTCACGTTAGGTTGACAACCGGAGACTCTGCAAAGTGTTAGTTGAGTTTAAACATTCTTGTATTTATACCCCGTAAAATAGATAATAAGTGAGTTGTGTTAGAGATGAGAGTCGTTAACTGCCAAATTGGGACAAAGTAAAATGAAGCAACAATGAAATCCAAGAAATCTTTCAAAGAATCTCTAAAACTAAAAGTTAGCGTACTTCAGCTGCTGAGTCAAAAGCCCACTTGACTTAAGTGTAATGACGCAATAAGCAAACCACTCTCTGCGCGATCACGGAAATAACTCAACAATCATCATATATAAAACATATGATTACAAACGGTTACCTGATCTGTAATTAAATTAGAAAAGAGTTGTCATTTTCCTTACGAAGCTAATTTATGATGTCTGTCGCGTATTGAGCTGAGCTTTTAAGCAAACAGGAAATGTAAATATTAGGGATGCATGGTTATTTTAAAAATAGATTTGCACCATGATTTGCACATGACTCAGACAAACATTGCCGGGGAGGAGGATTATATGAGAGACACGGATCACTTGATAGTTTAAGAGCGAGTTTTACGGTAAATTTCATGTAATATGGAACGAAGCGCTGCTGCTGAGGAGAATGTAAGAGTGACTCCAGATACCCAGATAAATTGGATAAGTCTTTGAAAGAGATGATAAATTCGGGACAAAAAGCGTTTGAACCGTTTCCAAAGCCAAGCCAAGGAATAAGTGCAAGCGATGGATTTATGCCCGCTCCCAAGAAAATTCTCGGTTAAAAACATAAACAAGAACACGTATATATGTGCACTTCACTGGCCAGGAAAGGTCCAACCAACGAACATCTAGACCCTTTGAAAGCAAATCAGGTCAACGTGTAGTGGCCAAAGCAATAATGCCAAAGAGAAAAGCGCTGGTTCGAAGGCCCAGTGGAAGCTCGACTGATCAGTTCAAAGAAATTCAAAATTATCTAAGATCAGTCTCTGGATTATTCAGTGAAAGTGGAATTTTGAAACACATAAAACCGCAAGATGTCATTTTAGCAGACATAGGTTTCAATGTGCAAGACCCTCTAAATCCCCTTCAGGCAAAAGTTAAAATTCCAGCTTTCCTTCAAGGTTAGAGCAGCCTCTCTTGCTGAAGAGCTTTCCAAAAGAAAAATTGTCAAAGCAAGAATTCATGTAGAAAGATGTAATCAGAGATTGAAAGACTTAAAGCTAGTAGGCAGGACAGTCCATCCGTCTCTGGCAACCCGTAGCAACACGAGTAGTTGTTACTTGTGGTTTAGCAAATTTTCAGGATGTGCTATGTAAGTAATCATCCTTATTTTTCCAACTAAATTATCTAACTGAGCTTAGAGCAAATACTCTTAAATCCTGGGTGCAAGCATGTCATTTAGCTAACTAAATTGTACAAATAGCTCTAATTAAACAATAGAAAACAAAGGGTTTTGGATGATTTTGTACTATATAGATTTTTCACAATTTCATGGTTAAAGTGCATTCACTCTACTGGTCATCTATTTATCCACTTTGAGTAAACCAATCCCTCTAGTTTAATTCCTTTATGTATATTCTGTCATTAAATTCATAGTTTATTTTAATTTGAAAAGAACATTTGATACTAATGTAATGCTTATGATTTGCAATATTTATGTGTACTAGAAATTTCTAATTCAATAACTTTTACATCATAACTGTTTTATATTTACACTATGTCTCAGTCATTTAAAATAAATGAAATATGCTCAGTGCAATTATATTAATTCTAGTCCAATTAAAATTGTTAAACTGTTGAAATGACATGGCTTAAAATATATCCTTCTAGCTGGTATTTAAGAACTGAAAGCCCTGATTTAGGTACTCTTGTTTCCTTAAGGCCATCATACAAATACCATGTATCAAAATATTTGAAAACACATATGTATAATGGCTACCATTCCACAATGTAGCACTATAGAAGTGCAGTTCGTTTAAGTTAAGATGAATGACTTCAGATATATATCCTGCAGTGTCATATGACCTGCTCTACAATGTGGGTCAACAGAAAAAATAAAAATGGTTAGGCTTTGGGTACAACCAGTCAGACAATGAACTTTGAAAACTACATTTATATGGCAAACAACTTGGGACTGTGTGTAAGTCAGAATGCAAGAACAAGTGCTAAGGCTACAGGATGTTGTAACTTCTGTTGTTAGAATAAGATGAAATAGAGGAATGAAGTCAATGAATCCATTTCTTATTATAGGATTTGTAGACAAGAATACAAATTTAGCATCTGCATACTGTCTATTTTCAACTAACATTAGTGCTGTCTTTATAACATTTCCAAACTGTTCATTTAACTGATCCGGATCAATTTCATGAGACTTCATCAAACATTGAATGATCATCGTCCAGTTATCAAGTGGGCCGGTATTAGCTAGATGTAACCCATTACTGGTAATACCATGCCAGGGTATAACATACAAATCATGTGTTCCATTGTGTAGTGTTGTGGCGGTAGTACTAATAGTACTGCTAGTAGTGAAGCTTGACTGTGGTGAGTGGGTGGTGCTGCTTCTAGTGGAGCTTGACTGCAGTGAGTAGAGTAGTACTGCTCATAATGGAGCATAACTGTGGTGGGTGGGTAGTACTGCTTGTAGTGGAGGTTGACTGTGGTGGGTCAGTAGTACTTCTAGTAATGAAGCTTGGCTGTGGTAGGTGGGTGGTACTGCTTGTAGTGCAGCTTGACTGGTAGGGGGGTAGTACTGCTAATAGTGGAACTTGACTGTGGTAGGTAGGTGGTACTGCTAGTAGGGGAGCTTGACTGTGGTAGGCTAGTGGTACTGCTTGTAGTGGAGCTTGACTGCGGTAGGTGGGTAGTACTGGGAGTGGCAGAGCTTGACTGTGGTGGGGTGGGTGGGAATGGTAGTAAAGGAACTTGATTGTGGTGGGCGCATGGTACTGCTAATAGGAAAGCTTGACTGTGGTAGCTGGGTGGTACTGCTGGTAGTAAAGCTTGACTGTGGTGGGTGGGTAGTACTGGGAGTGGCAGAGCTTAACTGTGGTGGGTGGGTAATACTGCTTGTAGTGGAGCTTGACTGTAGTACGTGGGTAGTACTACTTGTAGTGGAGCTTGACTGCAGTGGGTGGGTGGTACTGGGAGTGACAGAGATTGACTGTGGTAGGTGGGTAGTACTGCTAGTAGTAAGGCTTGACTGTAGTGGGTGAGTGGTACTGCTTGTAGTGGAGCTTGACTCCGGTGGGTGGGTGGTACTGGGAGTAGGGGAGCTTGACTGTAGTGGGTGGGTGCTACTGCTAGTGGGAAAGCTTGATTGTGTTCGGTGGGTGGTACTGCTTGTAGTGGAGCTTGACTGTGTTAGGTGGGTAGTACTGCTTGTAGTGGAGCTTGACTGCAGTGGGTGGGTGGTACTGGGAGTGGCAGAGCTTGACTGTAGTAGGTGGGTAGTACTGCTAATGAAGCTTGAGTGTGGTGGGTGGGTGGTACTGCTTGTAGTGGAGCTTGACTGTGGTGGTTGGGTAGTACTGCCAGTAGTGGAGCTTGACTGTGATGGGTGGGTGCTACTGCTAGTGGGAAAGCTTGATTGTGTTCGGTGGGTGGTACTGCTTGTAGTGGAGCTTGACTGTGTTAGGTGGGTAGTACTGCTTGTAGTGGAGCTTGACTGCAGTGGGTGGGTGGTACTGGGAGTGGCAGAGCTTGACTGTAGTAGGTGGGTAGTACTGCTAGTAATGAAGCTTGAGTGTGGTGGGTGGGTGGTACTGCTTGTAGTGGAGCTTGACTGTGGTGGTTGGGTAGTACTGCCAGTAGTGGAGCTTGACTGTGATGGGTGGGTAGTACTGCTTTTAGTGGAGCTTGACTGTGGTAGGTAGGTACTACTTCTTATAGTGAAGCGGGACTGTGGTGGGTGGGTTGTACGGCTAGTAGTCGAGCTTGACTGCGGTGAGTGGGTAGTACTGCTAGTAGTGCAGCTTGACTGTGGTGGGTGGATAGTAATGCTTGTGGTGGAGCTTGACTGTGGTAGGTGGGTAGTACTGCCTATAGTGGAGCGGGACTGTGGTGGGTGGGTTGTATGGCTAGTAGTCGAGCTTGACTGTGGTGAGTAGGTATTACTGCTAGTAGTGGAGCTTGACTGTGGTGGGTGGGCAGTACTACCAGTAATAGAGCTCGAATGTTGTTGACGTAATGGTACAATAAATGGCACAAAACCTTTAGGCACTCTCATTTAAAAAATTCTGGAGCTATGACTTGTTTCCATAATATTGTGAGGGTGTCTATAATCTTCTTGATAAGTTTAGAATCTCCGAAGATCCTCTCTATTGATGGAGGGCCATCTTTAGTGAACAGAACAAAGTCACAAAATTGCCCTTCAGTCACTAGCAATTGCATTTGTATTTGATAATAATAAGAGTGACTTGTCACTTGTCACCCTCAATGCGAAAACATTGTTTGAGAGCGTCATTTGAAATCAATGTATTATTTACGTCATGAATTACACTCCTTATACTGTGCTTTTGGAAAATCTTGAGTGTTTGGATCTCCACAGTGCCATTTCCTCCAATGAGACCATCAGGTGAGTAACCTTACCATGGATATTTGGGATTTACCCATAAACCAGAAGACTGTATTGTTCCTTGGTGATTTCTTCACATTTGTAAATGGCTGCACCGTCTGATCCTATCTCACGTTTCATCCAAAATGACTAATAATTTCCTTGTAACTTAATGCTTGGAAATGTACTTTTTACACCTGATACTTTCAGTTCTTGGATCTTCCGTTATTGACCGTCCCAGTTTAACAGTTTCTAGACATTTAGATGCGGTTAGCCTTGCAGACCTCTCGCGATGCCATCTTTTATCTTGGCTTTGATTTCCAGTATGTTAAAGTTGCTGTAAACATATACGGAGGAGTGATATTGTCGAAGAAAAGTTGAACTATCTCTTGAAGTTCAAGTACAGATACTTGACTAAGTGGATAATTATTGTAACTAATACATGTATATAACTGCGTTGTCCACGTAGGTGTTTCTTCAGTAGTAAAGCATTAGTTTGTAAATCGAATATTAATCTCTATTAATTTGAATCTAGAAATCGATACCTGGGAGGCCTGGACTGGGTACTGGCAGGGTGCATATCAGTATTTTCTCTTTCCTTTAGATTGAGCAATTTTTGTTCAGCATACAAGTCATAAGACTAGGGGAAAGCCAGGGGCTGTTCACTACGCTAACGCGTTCTAATTGCGAAATGACTTTAGTATATTACCGCTAAGGTATCTGTGCACGTCTTATTAGTAATCTAGCAAGCAAGCAAGCAACAAGTTCATTTCTAGCTTTAACAGAGTTGTAGTTTCCCTCCCACCCACACCATCGACAGTTTTGATTGTATTTTAATTTCATTCGTGTTTGTAATTTAATTATTCTTGATTACTGGACTGTTGGTTTAGTGTATTCGTAAACTATCTTTTATGTAATAGTCTAGTGTGTTATTTTCGTAGGATATATACATTTAATAAAGTGTCTGGTCCCGGTTGTTCGAAGGTTGAATAGCGTTATCCACTGGATAAAACTCTATCCGGTGGATAACGCTATACGTTTTGCTATTACTTATCCGCCGGATGGCGATTTATCCGTTGGATAGCGTTATCCGCCCTTAATACAATTAGACCCAGGTCCCAAAACAGGCCCCTGTCTGTTGTGGTGTTTAGTTTCTTACAAAGTCATTGATGTCTTAGACACTCTTCGATATTTTTTTGGTCTTGGGTCGAAATCAATCACATTGATACTGCTCGTCTTCCTTTTTGTGGGATAATTAGTATCTGAGAGTCTTTTTTTTCCCATATTCCACGAACATTCTTTGCTTGTGCACGGTGTTGAAACACTATGCCTTTTTTATCGATGTATAGTAAGTATAGTAATACAGTATAGTAATACAGCGAGAACGTGGCTACAAAGGCCAAGTTTAGAAGCCTTACACGGTGCCAGCGTGGATTACAGCTCCACTTTTTAACGATAAAACAGCAAGAACATTGTGTGGATAGTCAAAGCTCATCGAATGCCGAACATAAGCACGAAGATAATAACACTCTTCATTCCTGTTGTACGTAACCAGAATCGAGATACTTTCGTCCTTGCTTGAATGGTTTACCTGTCATATGTCCTAAACCATTATCATCTCCTTCGTCGCTATCTTTTGCTTTGCTTGAACTGTCTTCAAAAGACACATTTGGTAGCGATTCAAGCGCATAGTAGTGTGAGTGGCCATAGCTTAGTTGACGAGGGACGCTTTGTAAAGGAAACTTTTTCCAGCCAGACTTTGGAATTATCGGTATTTTTTTAGTATCACAAACATCTACACTTGAAACCTTGCTGTTTATTTTTATTTTTTCTTCATACCAGTGACAATCATCGATGCTAGCATCTAAAATAAGATTAAGGAAGGTTGGCATTTTTTACAAAAATGAAACTCGTGGAAGTTCAGTTGAGAAACTCTTTGTGACTGAGGGCCAGAATGCTGACGTCTTCAACTTTGCGAAAGGGATATTGAGCGGATGAAACGCTTCGTCAAACCAGCCACAAACTATTTTTATACTGAAACATTTGTCAATTTTTTATTGCGTGCAAACGTAGTTTTTCAGGCCTTTTTGTGACAACCAAACAGGAATTCGAACAGACTTCATGCGAACAAGGCAATCAAGATGGCATTCGAAAGAGGAGGATTCAAATTCCTCCTAATTCTGTGTGTTAATGAATGAATAACCTAATGGATGAGTAGGTTATCTCAAATAAATGAATAAATTTGCATTCGATCAGGCATTAAAATCTCTCCACAAAAATTCCCTTCCAACCACTAACTTTATTTTCCTACTTACATAGGATTTAGAGGTTTACACGAGATAGACATGGAGACAAAACAAGCCATTATTGACCTGCTTAACAAGAAGCGCCTTCCCTGGCCTGGCGGCATGGAAGCAAGTGGCACGAAGGTATCCTTTTAGCAAAGGACAAAAAACCCAGTAGGAGTTATGTTGGAGAGTCTGGCCTCCCTTTCGCCTAATATCACTGTTTATTACATCTGTAAGACGTTTAGGGAGTCTAGATACAAACAGATGGATGTTGTTTAAAACGTCCTGTCGAGGCAGGTTGTGACGCCTATGAAGTCAACTCGTTAGTGCCAACCCTAATTTTTCTCAACCTTGTCAAGACAGCTGTTTTAAGGTTGTGTCTTGTCTTTCACTTTGCATTCTATCATTCGATGCTCGCTCTAAGAATAGTTCGTTGAATGTGCAGCTCCCCCCCCCCCCCCGTTTAATGTTTTCCTAATTTTATTGCAAAGGCAGGCACATGATGCAAAAAAATTGAAGCAGTTTTATTGCTTGATTTGGTTAAAAAAAAAGGTACGTGTTGCGCAAATAGTACGATAGTCCTACGACAAATTAGGATAAATATAGCAAAAATTTGCCTATCAATAGTGATACTGAAGCTCAAAAGGCACTGAGAATGAGAATAACCCATTAGCAGCCTCTGTCCCAAGCCCCCTGCTGTCATGCAAACCGAAGGTCACAAAAGTGAATTTCCATGCGTTCGAATGATTGCAGTCCATACTCGATGAATTATTGCAATACATCAGCTTCAAAAGCTCTCAACAATATTTCTGTATGTTCACTTCTTTAATAATTGCTACTTCATCAAGTAGTTCACGTGTGCCTATTTTGGCGTCAATTAATTTCAAAGTTTCTCACATTATGAAGCTAGTTTAACTTAATTTTTGTGAGTGCTGCCGTATTTTTGTTGTTGTGATTAGTTAGCTTAAAATGTCGTTTGCTGTGTTTGCAATTGAAATTGTCCTTGGTGATTAGCAAATTCGATTTTGTTAATGAAGTGCAGGAGGAGCTGTATAAACAAAATCAAAGATATCAAATATGAACCATAACTGTTTTTATTACAAATAAAATGTGAGTATATAGTCCCATTTGAGGAAATCACTGTAATAAAGAATATCCAATAAAATTTAAAAAATACTACGATACACTCTCATTCAGGGAATAAATTCAAATAGTTTCATGTAATCAAAAATAATTTTTTTTGGATTCATAATAAATTAAAAATATCAAATTTTAGCAAAGAGAATAAAGTTATAAAAATATTTTGATATACTGGCCCATTCAGGTAATAAATTCTATTAGCTTCATGTAATCAAAATGAAACTTCTTTGTTAGAGTGCAAACAATATGACCGTGAAATACTAATCGCTGAATAGTACAAAATGATGCTGGTGTAACAAAATAAAACAATAGAATTAGCATAAAGTTGCACTATTTAGTCAGCTATCTATTTCACGGCTATATTATTTGCACTCAATTGTAAATATGAAACCCTAAAGTACAAACTGTTAGAGTGAGGGCATCGAACTTGTGGAATAGATATTAGACTAATAGACATTTTTAGTTGCAAATTGCACTCATTGTTTTCTTTCGTGTCGATTCGACTATTACACCTCCACTATTAGATTTTGTCTCACAAGTTTAATGTTCTCACTCGTTAGTGTGTCACATAAGCAGTACTAACTCCTGGTAAGATATGACCACTGTATTGTTTAATTAACACTTCTTTCGATACTCTGACGGCAACGACATTTTTGTTATCATTGTGAACAATTGTGGCATGAACAGTTAAAAATCACTTCCATGATGTCATTATCATTGAAATCCTTGAACAATTTTGTAATATGACATTTTGTAAGCTAATGGCTGAACTTCACGCAACAACTGGCAATCGTTAGTGACCACTCAGTTACAAGGTAATCCACAGAAATTTCGAAATTCCACAGTCGGACCCTAAAAATTGGCTGCAATAATACTACAACTAGCTTATGTAAAATACAGCTTACATCAAAATTCAGAAACATTTGTATGATTGCTGAAGACAGTATATACGCTTGCTTTCAAAATTCAGAAACATTTGTATGATAGCTGAAGAAAGCATATACGCTTGCTTTCATAGAAAACTTATCTAAATGTGCTTGGATACAAAAATTGGTTGTTATTGTGGATATATAATACTTTCAGCTGTTCAACCATGAAATCTAAAATCGTACAACCAAGTAATCAAGTGTGGATGGAAATCACTTATATGAAAATTTTCCTGAATATGGTTTACTCATTAAACAATGATTAAATTGCTATACCTTGAAAACTCTTAAATACAAAAAAATATAAGAAAAATTGAGACGGTAATCCATATTTTTCCCGTCAATGCAGTCCGTTAACTCTAACACACTTTTTACACTTTTTATCTAACCGTTTCAAATTATCTTCTCGTCTCTAAAGGAGTATGCGAATTTTAGTCAGCATCTTTTCCAGTTGACAAGGTCCAATAAAAAATAAATTTCCTGAAGGGAACGTTTCAAATTATACAAACTCCCTTGATACCAAATTATTGCTTGTGGATCATGATCTAGAAGTCACACAGACCCTGAAATTGTCGATGCAATGCACTGCATTCAAAAGCGTCACCAACTCACTAAGAGACCATATTTGATCGCAACACAAGAACTTCTATCTATAACTAACCTATTTTTTATACATTTTTATAACCTCTTGGAAGAAAAAGAAAGGATTAGCATAAGAAAGGTGATTCTTCAGTTTGCCGGTCAGCATCACTTATAAAAAGAATTTCTAAGATGTCCTGGAAAAGGGGAAAATCAAAACGAAGTAAAAATTCACAAGGAGACAGTTGAGAAAACTTGGTCAAAAAAGGCAAACTGCCTTGTTAAAGCTTGTAATATTGACTTATTGGCTTTGGTTTTAGTGTTGCTACTGATCTTTTGAGGAAATGGTACAGGTATTCTACCCCAAATGGATGAGTGAAGTAAAACAAATCCAAGAGCATTACATGACTTTAGATACTCAACTAAGAAATGATCTCATTGTTCATTTGCTCATTGAGTCGCCGTAACACTGATATGGATTGAGTGATGTCACGTAAAACAACTCTAAGGTACGTCCCCGCCTGACATTGGAGCCGAAAGATGAGCTGACAATACTTCAACAATATCCAAACGCCGTATGTCTTTCTCTTTAAGTTCCTTGCAAATCTCATACACAGTGAGTTTCGGGTATGACTTTGCTAGGAACTCGATTAATTCTCTTCCGGCTGTCTCATGGCTGTGTTCCAGAGAATCTATATGATGATCTTCCATAGTATACCTATTAGCGAGTTGTATCCAGGTCGGAGTCCCCGGTTTTTTCTTAGTCAGAAGGTTTCCAACCTTCTCTTGAATATTGAGATCTACATCTCTGAGACATTTGAGCTCTAAAAGTAAAGAAACGAAAGGAGAATGCCAATGTTTCCCCAAATAACTTATATTACGTGCAAAGCATATTGTGAAGAAATATGACAGGTTCCCAATCAGTTGACAAATATAACATACTCCTGAGTGCCCATCCTCAAAAAAAATGCTAGTGGGTCGATAAGTCGATAGTAGTTACGTAATTAAAATACACTACTGGACCAATTATTGTAGACTAATGTCCTAGAATACTCCTGAATATTCCAGAATGTTCAGTTATTTACTATATAAAGCACTTTTCGATTGAAGTCCCCTCAACAAACCCCCGGGACAAGGCGGGGAAATAACCCTGTCATGCCGAGGTTTCACACACAAATTAGTAGAGAACTAAAGCAGATACGCCGATGCATCAACCGTAAGGTCGTCGTTTCAGTATTTAACTTCCAGCTTTCGTCAGCCTCTCAAGAACGTTTGTGCTTAGGCTCCAAAATTAACAGCGAGATCTCACGAGGAAGCAGGGAATGAAACTCTATTGCTCAAATGCGGGGCATTACACCAGGAGGTAAACGTTAATGGAGAGAGCCTGAGAATGAGTGGTTCTCCATCTTGGAAATACCCAGAAATCAACGGGTCGTTATTGCCCCTACTTTTAGTTGGCAGCGACGGTCGAAAGAAAGTGAGAATATTTGCTGCTTTTTTAATGGCAGCGTAAGTTGTTAAAATTTTCGGCTACTTTTTTCGAGTTTTTGAGACGCACAGGTTTTTTCGTGATTTCAAAAGAGATTATTTACTTAACAGCATGCTTTCTGTGATGTGTTTGCTGTCTTAATGACAAGTTCTTCAAGGGTAATTTGATCTGCAATTTTTGGTTACTGGCCTCCACAGGTAATTTTTTTGTCACAATATTAAACCTTTTTCTTAAGATTTAATTCTATCTTCACAGTATTTAACTTTTTCCTACTTCAACTCAAGCACTATTACCCTAAAAATCATGTCTCTAGCTCTGCATCGGTATTAAGTTCCCTACCCAGTCCCAGAGGTAGGGGGTGGGGGTTTTGGCAGACGCATGGTGCATTACACATAGTGCATAGTCAAGTGCTTAGTCATACTTAAATATATGTATATATATATATATATATATATATATATGATGTAATCATTTAAAGACTGTTGCAGAATGTTGTACATTTTTATTTATATGGAGCTCGTAAACAGCAGTGTGGTAATTACTTGCTGAGGTGTCAATGAAGTTGTGTCCCTGACTAGAAGTGTTTACTTTAACTTCATATAATTGTCCTATATAGTTCAGTTATTTATCATTATGGAAGGTAACAACATTTAACATTGAGCTCCCAACTGCATAAATAATGTGAACATCACACATTCACAGCCACCATACTGCTTCCTGTGGGTACTAACTGTCTCCTTCTACAGCCTAAGTGAGAAATTTTGTGTGACTTATATTACCAGTACATGTAGTAACCAAAATAACAGGTAATTAGCAAATAATTGACACTCACCCATTCCATCACAGGGGATGACATCTAGTTCTGAAGGGAGAGATGTCACACACTTCTCACTGTCACCATCATCATATTTCACTTCACACTTGTAATTGCCAAAGTCTTCCACCTTAACTGGATCCAAAACAAGGGAAGAGTTTCTTTGACCTTGAATCTTGGAGTCATCTTTGAACCACTGATAACGTGCTTCTCTCTCTCCAGAGATGTTGCATTCAAATTCCACTCGTGAACCTTCTTTCTGTTCTTGATATCTGGGTTGCACCATGACCTTAAAAGGTTTTGCTGCAAATAAAAACAAAAGTAATTTTTTCTTCATCTATTAAGTGCAATGCATTGAAAGGTCTCCTAGCAACTTAGTTCTGTGGGGGAGGGTAGGGGAGAGACCCTTTTAAAGGTTATAGTACAAATAATTTAAACATACCAGAATTCAAAAGTTTCTTACTTTCAGTATCATCATCTTCATTTGGATCCTAAAAAATTCAATCACAATCAATATGAAAAAAATTGATGTCCATTTATAATAGGTAACAGTTTGACATTGCTGGGAGCAGTACGAGTCACTGATCTAAGATACACTTTAAAAAAACCATCACCCCACATGTCATCCATTATACTATCCAAAAAGTAATTATTGTTCGTCAGGTATCAAAGCCTTAAAGACTAACAATTGTTTCTATTATTTTACTCACTTGCAAGTTTTCCTTGTTAGGGGTGCCAGTGCTTGATAATTTCCTCTTTAATGCCTTGAAACTTATAATAGGCCCACTGGACCTTCTTTCTCCCTCTTGTGCATTTCCTGTTCGAATAAAAGTATGCAATTGAGATTTTGACCACAGAGTAACTTTCATTCCTCATAATACATGAGGCTACAAATTAAATATAAAATAAATTTAAAATGAACAAATCTTACCAAAGGCACAACTTAAATTATTTGAGGCAGACTTCTGTATCCCAAGACTATCTAATTCCTTTAATTTAATAAACTTGTAGAGTACATCTTATCAATAATTATCTTTCTTTACTGCAACCTACCACTTTTCTAGTGATTATGTTTTTTTTCTAGTGCTTTATCATGAAAATACAAAGTCCAGCCATCAAATTTGTCTTTATCATGAGCTATATTAAATTTGCTAGCTGGCATCTTGAACCATAAAATGAAACTGCAAGGAAAAGTTAATGACACATTTTGTAAGTTCTTGTTCTCTGCCCTCATCTGTGTTTGCCTGTAAATCAACAAAAATTATTTAATCCCACATGCTTTCAACCAAAATTAATTATGCAAGAACATAGAATACCAACCATCTTGCTCATCTGAATCCTGAAAGAGATAAAACATGTAATGAAAGCTTTTAAATATATGTGTACTGCATTTATGAAATGAATGCCAATAATCTGAACACTGGATCTCAATTAACTCTTTAAATTAACCCTGGGAGTGACCACCATCTAATTTCTCCTAACAGTAATTACTGCTAAATCATTCATCAAGATCATGAGAATAACAGAAATGATTGCCACCCTAGGAATATTTTGATTGTTAAACAAATTCTCCTTGTCAGTACCAATTGATTTGTACGGAGATGAGTGTAGAAAATATGGATACTGAGGTTAGGGTGTAAAGGGTTGATTTGATTGTTTCTCTTTTTCACACTTTAAGTGATTATCCAATCTATTTACTGCTAGGAAATCTAATATTTTGTTTTTAAAGTGAAATTGCATCATGTCTTTACTAAAAGCAATGCTATTACTGGCATGACATTAGCTGAATGATAAAAAAACACTTACATTGCATGATGTAAGTAATATCTTGAGGTTATTAATTTACAAGTCACATGAAACTTAATACAAATTGCAGACAGTAATCACATATAAGTAGAAGTACATCAAACAAAATTTGTCATAAATACCTCTCCTTGTAATGGCTTATAATGATCTTTGGACAGTTTCCTTTTGGCCCTCTCTACAAGACTTGGTCTCCTGGGCACTGTTACATCAACATCTTAAATTTGTATGGCATTAAAATAATTAATGATCTAACATTTCAGCACATATATTGGCTGAGAGCTTGTCAAAATAAAAAACAGAGACAAATCATTGTACAGAAAGTTGAAACTGAAATTGGCTGCAAAGCTAAGTCTTCTTTTGGATGATACCTTGCAAAATTTGAGAACTTAATATATAATTACCACATGAAAAAAGGGTGTGGTTTGTAGTTGTAAAATAGCGATGATGTACTGCAAAATACAGTTTTGACTGAAGCAAACCTAATAGGCGAGTTATTAACAAACCCTGTTCAAGCATGAAAAGAAAAGTAGGAGCTATGATTATTTATAACTACACTGTTTTCAATGTGAATAATTCCAAATTAAATAAATTTTATCCTGAAATCTAAGCACTATTTAGTATACCGTATTTGTCTTGCCCTTCATTTTCATCACTGTCTTCCTCTTTGGATCCTAACAAGCTCTCACTGGCACTGTCCTTTGATGCTGAAACAGTTATCAAGAAAGATATATTTCAAATTTTAGTTGGCAAATGTTTTTATATATAATTATGCATGATTGACACATTTATTTGAGTTGACTTGTGCATGTAAACATTATATATTTGCAATTAAAATTATATCTCCATGTATTTAAGTGAGGAGAGTTTAGTTTTAAATCAACACTGCACTCCATAGCTGATAAATTTATCTTTTCTCTTAACCTGTTGAATGGGTGATCACTGATTAATATTAGGCAGTCAAGTACTGAAGATATTGTTACAAAAATTATTTTTCTATCCTAAAGTTTGCAGAAATCAAAAGAGCAAATGGATTAAATAAAAAAATTACTTTACTGAATGCATGAAATTTCTTTAAGTGTGACCTAGGCCTAGTTTATATGCATGCAATGTGGAAAAAATCAACTGAGAAACATTAAGTAAAATACTGCATGCATAAAGTTGATATCACTCTTTACATAATCTGCTGAATTTGTAGTTTTTTGAAACACATCATATCCCCCTCATCACACTGTTGGATAATGATGCTCACATCACTGCCAGAATTTCTACCAACTTCTTTTAAACTTTTGAAATGCAAAGAAAAATTAATAGAAAGATATGTATATACACCTGTTTTAAGAATGTTGCAAATTTGAAATTGTATATTTACCCTATATAAAATCTCTATTCTCCTCAAAAAGTTTCTTTTTCCATTGTTTTTGAAACTGTATAAATTTACATAAATACACCCATTTTCAAAAAACTGTTTAATTTGAAACTATATGAAATGTTTATACCTTTTCTTTTCTCATCAAAAGGGTGATGCACTATGCATGCATATTTGACATCAAAGGAACAATAACTTTTTGTTTTTCTGACAGCCTACAGTCATTGTACATTCCTTTAGAAAAATTGTCCTTATAATAATTATTTATGTCAACAATTTCTTAATGAAAAAAAGGTATTCTATATATACTTCATATGTATTTTCAAATTGCAATGTTTTTGAAAACTGGTGTAAATATTATACATAATCATATACATATAGTTTAGAATAAATATATATTACCTTGTGCTTCCTTACTGTTTGTTCTTTTTAAATTACGCTTCTTTCGTGATCCATCCTTTAGCTCAGACAGCTGATCTACCAGCTCATCATCAGTTGGATAGGGAGATCCTTCTGGGGAGGATGTGGCATAACCTGAGTTGGTCTGTAATTCTGTAACTTTGGGGAATGCTAATGGCAACTGTACCTCAGCACTGGAATGTGACTGTGTGGGTCCTTGTGTGGATCCTTGTATGGGTCCTTGTGTGGGTCCTTGTATGGGTCCTTGGCTGGCATAGTTGGCATCATAAAGTGCTAACACATTAAAAGTATCAAATTATTTACAAATTAAAACAAAAGTGTCACGTACAAGATTGTTTGATAGCCAATGCAGCTAATACAAAAATGCTATGTGTGTATAAATTAACTCAACTGATTTAAATAATAAGAAAAAAAGAGAAATATAATGGGCTGAGCATGTTCATTATAGGACAGGTTTTGAAGTTGATTTATGCTCTCCTGTATTTCCTGTATAAGGCAAAAATGAAAAGCTGACATTAAACAGCCAGCATGCTGAAAAGCATTTTTAATTTAGTTAAATCTTTTGTGTCATGGTAACAACAGCAATTCTGTCCGCTGGTGAATGGATGTATCACATCCTTGTAACAGATAACTTTGTGTTTCTGCTGTTTGCCAGCAGAGTAAATCATGTAACTAATATGCATTTATATATTATAAATTTGAGATGCAATCTGCAAACTATTCTCCACTTTAAAAGGTGTGCATTTTAGCCCTGACTGCAGGGTTATTATAATGTAGTAATCTAGTGTAAGATGGTACTGTATGTTATTCTCACAATGTTTCTCTTACCCCTAGAACAGTCATTGGGTCTTGTAAAACTTGAAAGAAACAGGTGGTGGACTGGTATCAATCCAGGACGGAGGAGTGATAACCTTCCCTAACTATCATTTACTATTAATAACAAAACTGGTCTTTAAAACTAGGATTAGCTTCAGCAGAGAGGCTACTTGATAAAACCTTTAACCTAATATTTTAAACTATACTCTTGGAAAAAAAGATTGGAACCTATCTCACCTTCACAGGTTATATTATCATTGACCCCCCTCATGCTCTGTGTTGCCTTCCTCCTAATCCTCCAACATAAGAACCCAACAATAAGTACAGCAAAGGCAAATATAAAAGCCAATACACCAAATACTATTGTGATAGTATTCTGAGAGCTGCCTTTAGTAGTATCATGAGGTACTATTCTGCTGGTAGCAGTCATATCTGTCACAATTGCTGGCAAGGTTGTCCTGGTAGTTGGAGGTACTGGAGCGCACGTCTTATCTAATCGAATGCTACAGTATTGACCAGTAGCATTGAACCCATGTTTGATACATTCTGGCTGTGGTTCATCTTTTTTGTCAAAACAACAATATGAACATTGTTGACAGCTGTGGGAGACCTCAGCAAAGAAGTATCCTTTAGCACACGTTTTATTGCAACTTGTGTCAGATACCTTGGTACAATTGGCAGATACTATCTCGTGAGGAGCACACTGTTGACAGTTTTTACAAGAGGATGAGTCTAGCTCAGCAGAAAATGTGCCCGAAGGGCATTTTTTGCAAGATATGTCGGACACTTTTTCATGTGTAAGTTTTGTTCCACATCGAGGATACAATCCCCTTCCAGGATGACATGTAGCACAGGTTAAGCAATCCGCAGAGCTCCCGTTTGAGAATACAATGGTGTACTTGTCACCAGAACAGAAATTACAATAGACATGATGTACTTCCTAGCAAGAAGAAAAAGGAGAAAAATGTGTTTAGTAGCCATGGTTTGCTTTATACCAAGTCTCACCAGGTTGCCAAATAATAGGTTTTAATTAATAGGTTCCTTAAAGATTCACTCATTATTCATCAAGTATTCTTCTGAATAATTGTTTGCTGTTAATGTAGGCCAGTTACCCCAATAAAATGTTTTGTTTCCCATGGCCAACCATTTTGTGTACTAAGTCTTACAGCAACTCAGGCAAAAAGGAAAAAGATCTAAAAAAAAAAAAACAGACTGAGAGCAAAGAGAAGTCAGAGAGAGCCTGAGAAAAGTCTGAATGACTGTGCCAATAATACTCATCATTTTCTTTACCAAATTGTTTCTGACAAAATATACAGGCAAGGAAATTTGGTATAAATGTGGGTGTTTATACAAGATGAAGTCTCTATCACCTACTTTCAAAATAATATTGAGAGACTGAATTAAGATTTCAATTGATATTTTGAAGGTATTTAAGTCAGCTGTTTAACTTGAATTTTTTTCTAGGTTTAATTTTTCTTTAAAAAAGGGTTGTAAAGGGGATAGGAAGTGTACGATTTCATCGGTTTGGCTACGGAAGCACAGAACATATTAGTAAAGAAATTATTCATATGTCAACGGCACTTGCACGGAAAACTTCAAAAGCTTTTCTAACTCTCATAAACCTTTTAATAATTCCTAGACACGTATCCTCGTCAAAGTCTACAGACTTCATTTTCATTATTTTTTTTCATCCACACTTTCAGGGAAAAGTTAATTCTCAAAGAGAAAAATTGCCAAGGGGAACAAATTGAGGAACGAATAAATGTGGCTCGAGATATCTATTTAAATAAAATGATGTATTACATGCGTGTGATACAAGACTAGATTTATATTTCTGTATCTCTAACGAAGTAAATCACCAGATAAATTTGATCTGACGCGTTTCAAATAAGACCATGATGAAAACTTAAAGTTCACGCAGCCTGTGTTTTCCACTATATAGCTTAAAAAGGTTTCAAATGCGTAAATAATTAATTCATTTTGGTGACAGATTCTTCTCTATTTAAAACCCATCTCATGTAATTGATAGAAGCTGATGTGCTCATCAAAACTCTTGGTAAAAGAAGAAGATTAAGCTTTCTTGAACGAATTAACTCATTTTCACACTAATTATGAATGTTTTAAAGTAGGTAATTAAGTTTCCTAACAAATGTGCCAAAGAAATTAAAGTCTGTATTACTTACCAAACAGAAGCAAGTAAAGGCTAAAAACACTGTTACTGACTGCATAATAGTCCAATGTCAAATACGAGCTTGTCTCATTTGCCTGCAGAGAAAAAACAGTGTAGCAACAGAAAGCTTCGCTTCACGCTAGGTTGACAACCGTAGACTCTGCAAGATGTTGGTCGAATTAACACTTTAGAAATTACACTGTAAAATAGATTATAAGTGAGTTGTGTTAAAGATGAGAGTCGTTAACTACCAAATTGGCACAAAGTGAAATGAAGCAACGATGAATTCGGAGAAATCTTCCAAAGAATCCCTAAAAATAAAAGTTAGCGTACTTCAGCTGCCGAGTCAAACGCCCACTTTTCACAAGTGAACAACGCAATGTGTAAACCACTCTCTGCGTGATCGCGGAAACAACTCGAGAATCATCGTTTATACAGCATATGATTACATACGATTACCTGATTTGTAATTAAATTAGAAAAGAGTCGACATTTTCCTTACGAAGTTAATTTATGATGTCTGTCGCGAATTCAGCTGAGCTTGCAAGCAAACAGGAAAAAATAAACAAGTGTGCAACAAAGTTGGAGTCACGGGACTTGCTCACTCAGCCCCATGCCCGGCGCATCTTTATGTCACGCAAGTAATCCGGAAGTAAGTGCGGAATTCAATTGGTTTTTAATACTTATGTCTAAAATGTATGGAAATCAACTGTGGGAGAGATCAGAAGGGTAGTTTGATTCGTTTTTCGAGGTACTTTGATCTCGTAAGAAAACCGTAAGCCTGAGATCGTTGCACAACGCTTACCTCCAAGGAGCATGGAGCACAAAGACTAAGATATGAAGATCATACCAAAGGTCGTCAAATTCTACAATGGAAACGAACAAGGAAAGCAACCTATGTCGAATGCCGCTAAACGTTCTGTTAATCAACTTATTCGGCGATGGCGAAAACTTGGCGCTAAGGTGATATATTTCAGTCGATCTTGCCAAAGTTATATCTGACCCGACTTTCGAAAACTTGAAAGCGTCTTTGTCGAGTTTTTGAGGTCAAAGAAATTCACAACCGTGTATAATTCTGTGTTTACAAGCATGTATTTTATTCATAAAATTGTACAATAAAAATACTAGCAACCCGTGCTCAGATCTCACTGATCATAATGTCACATCTAGAACAACGCATCTAGGCTAAACACTTTTTACCTTCTACAATAAAGATTTATTCCTGACGCATGCACGAACAGTGACCTATTCACATCTTTGTGACAATAACATTAAATGAGGCAGGTCATGGCTACCACGAGTGACGAACCATGAAACATTTCCTCTCAACAGCGATGGTTTAGAGGAATTACAGAGCTGTGGAAAGACTTGATTGAGTAATGGTGTCGGCGAGTTGACATGTCGGCGAAGTGATCGGTAACCGACAGAAAAGACGATAGGGCGTTAGGGTACTATGATCTTTGAGTCACTAGTTAACAAGCTCGTCTTCTAAAACTTTCACAATATTGAAGCATTTTATTTCTTTGAGTGTCTTGCAAAACCTGTAAACTTGTAAATCCGGTTTAAATGCCAGTAAAAAGTCCACAACCTTCTCTCCAGGGTCCTGTTTAGTCTCCAAATTCTTCACTAAATCATCATCCATTCCATTTCGATGAGCTATTTCCCTCCATCCACCAACACCTGGAGTTGTGTTCTCAAGAAGCATAGCTACTCGATGTTTTGTTTTAAATTCGAGCTCTCCTAAAGTCTTAAATTCTGTTGGGAACAAAATAAGATATTCAGTGCCGAACAACAGCTACAGAAGAAGGAACCAATACAAAAATGGAATCATATGTTCAACTGTGGAACAAAGAGATATCTGAGACCCTAAAAGGGATTTAATTCCAGGCCAAAAGTCTCCAAAATATTGCGTGTAGTGACTGAGAGTAGGGGCTGGAGTAAGGAAAATTTCCATGTTCTTCAATCAGAGAATGGTTCTGCCACAAGTTCTGCTTTTAGACCCAGCTTGAGTCAAGGGAAAAAAAACTGCAGCAGAAAAACCACAAAAAGAAAAAAACCAAAAAGGGAACAAGGACCCGTAGGGATGTTGGAGGGAGGCCTTAAGGTTGCTGTAGGGATGGCAGAAGGGGGCCTTAAGGTTCCCATGCCCCCTCTCCATTTGCGAGAAGTTTTAACTGAAAGTAGAGCAGCAATATAAGATATTTCACGCAAAGTAAACAAGTGGGGGGGGGGGGGTGAAATGGGATCGACTAGCATCCCTGGGGGAGTAGCAGCACTCCCAATCACTTCATGATACAGACACCAGCTGGGAGGGTAGATGAGCCCCTTTGCTTGAGTAAAGAATTTACCTTTTCTTTCACGTACCCATATCAGTGGCTCATTGATTTTTGTTTAATATAAAACAAAAAAAAAAAAAACCAAACAAACAAAACAAGAATTCTCACTTTTTCCAGGGCATGGAGTAACATTCAATTCTGCAGGTCCTGACTTAACCGGTTCCTTTCTTGTGTCACCTGAACAAGAAACCTGGCATCTGTACCACCCAAAATCTTGCATTCTAACAGAATCCAAGAGGAGAGTGTCCGAGGTTTTTCCCTCAAGTTCTTGGTCATCTTTGAACCACTGGTACAAAACTTGAATTCCACTAGGTACCTCACATTTGCATGAGAATTCCACACGCAGTCTTTCTGTTTGTTTTTGAGATGTAGGATGCTGGATAATTTTTATCTGCCCTATAGTCAATAATACAAAACATTATGGAATTGAGTATTTAAGGTTCGTTTAAAAGCAAGGAATCATAGTTTGACACATAGTTTGGCTATGTTTTATGTATATGATATGAAGTTACAAACCATCCTGCTGCCTGGATAAATCAGGTGTTCCCTTGGGTGACACACGAGGTGTTCCTGCGTTGGAATGAGTGTAACCAGGATTCAGTCCAGAGAAAACTGGGTGAAGTGTAGTGCCACTGGAAACTTGTGTAGACTCATGGTTGTATTTTCCACTTTCTGTGATGGAAAACATTTGGGAACATTAAATAATGTATGTTTCTAGTTAAAGTATACATCAATAGCAAGCCTTACATCTCAACATTATCAATATTGCATCATGCCTGCTGTTTGCAACTATGCATACCCTTCAATGAGGAATCAGGTTGCACAGGGACTCCACCTTTGTAGTATAAAATTATATTTGAGAGATACAAAACAAGTGAAAATGTAACAAAGTGCACTCATCATCTAAGATGGCCACATATCATTAATGGATCACACTAAGGCCATCATACAGTGTTTTAAATTTATGGTGCTGAATAATTATTTAGGACTCAGAATTGCAAGGGAAAATTAATGATAGCGTAATGTATTCAGTATCTCTTCATAGCTTTGACTTGGCACTTTACGTGTTAATCAGTAGCTATTGAATTCTTACGTGTTGGAGTTGTCAGATTACTGTTGTCAAGCTGAGGGTCAGCACGTCCATTTATGTGAATCATTGGTTGGGCCTCATGCTGCTTAATACCCTGCTCAGGATTGGTGTCCTCTGACAGGTTATTTTGACCTGCATTTCTTCTTTTAAGTAATACTGCAACAAGTAAAATTACTACACCAACAAGTGCACCAATACAAATATACAGGATGTAAATTGGCCTAAATTTTCCTGAATCTCCAGTATTGCTGCTAATTGAAGGTTTTATGGTAGGACCACAGTTTGTATCCATTCGCAGGCTGCAGTGTCTTTTTTCAAGGCCATGTCTTACACATTCTGCTTGTATCTCATCTTTTCCATCAGAACAACAATGAGAACACTCATGACATGCATGTGATGCATCCTGAGCATTATAGTAATAACCATATTCACAAGTTCCACTGCATTTGGTGTTTGTATCACTTGTGCAGGATGTTTTTACAATCTCATGTTCTGCACAGTGCTGACACATATAACAAGGAGAAGAGTCATAAGTGTCAGAATATGTTATTCCATCATGGCAACGCTGGCAATAAGTTTCATTTACAGGGCTTATAACAATACTTCCACATTTTGGTTCCAGCCCCCATCCCTCATTGCAGACTCCACAAGGCTGACATTTTTCAAAGTTTCCATCAGCACTTTTAACAGTGTATTGCTTTCCACGACATATTTTATTACTTTCACAGAAATCTCCCTAACAGAGCAAAAAGAGCATAATCAAATTAAATGGGTTTAAAACATAAAACTATAAACTGTTGCCCACAATTTGTTTCACTCAGAGATTGATGGGTAGGAAACGAGAAAAAAAAATTTTCACTCTTCTAAGTCACAAGATTTTCACACTTCTAAGGCACAAGATTTTTCTTTACTGGGAGTTCCAGGACCTTTCATAGAGGACCTAGTAATTTAATAACATTCACCAAGATCTCTCAAGGTGTCTCAAACAGCTCAAACATATTTTTGTATCCTATTTTCTCTCTTGAGTATGAGGTTCAAACGAAATTACATTGATCATCTACTCTTAGAATTTTCTTTCTGAGTTCAGGAAACAAGTAGGCCTTTCTAATCTCAGAGGGATGTAAAAGTACGTCCAAACATGTCTGGTAGTAACAGACAGGCCCTAGCTAGGTGAAAACAACCATCCTTCAGTTAATATGTGTTTTCTCCTTCCCCTTTCCAAACGGTAATTTTTCCTTTCACAGACTTCATTCGATTAAACTATAGTTTACATACTACCTTACACTACAGTAATTCATAATCACAAACGTCTACAAAGAAGTAACAACAATATTTTTCTAGCAGGATGACGTTAACTCGAATGTAGTTGAAACACGTCAGCTCAACGTACAAAATAACTGTTAGCGTGTTTGTTGATTACTCAGCAGGTCACGCTTTAATTACTAGACTAAACTGACAGGCACGGAAATAATTTTACTAACTTGCAAACAAACGCCGAAGATCAATAAACAAATCGATAACGTCGCTTGCATATCTTTTCTTGGATAATTCCTCGTGTAGCTGGGTTCCTAAAGAGAGAACGAGAAAGAGCGAAAGGAAACAATTTTGGATTGCAACATTATGTTATATAACTATAGAAATATCAATTACCTTTCATTGATGAGCTGATTAACATGCAGAAGCGAAAAGGCTCGATCACTCCGTAGAGTGGTTGGAGATGATTGTTACGAACTGATACACCACGCTGAATTCCCTCCCTAAACTACAGCACTTATTCTTACACTTAAAATAGTAGCATTTAGCAAGTGAAATGTTAGTTATAGATGATATGGTGAAAGAACCATCAGAGTACTTGTCGAAACACACCGAACAATAAGATCTCACCAGCAAACGTACGTCAGCATTAATCATTAATCAACTATCTTCACAACTCCATTTCCCAATGAAATTTTCCAAAAATACAGAATGGATTACACGAGTGGCAAAAGAAAGGAGCAGCCCTCTAACCTTGGAAAACTCCAATAAAGCGTAACGTCTTTTAGAGGAGGGACAACAGTGCTAAAAATAGAAATAAACTTACTTAATGACGTCATAGCACGGAAGAGCACAGACGTCAATGCTAGCCGGCTGGGCCAATATCAAGACGCATTGTTACACTCGTAAAAGCTAAAAATACAAGGGAACTCTTAAAATGGAGAACTAAAAAGGAGAAAAATGAACGAGAATAAAACAAATTTGCGGAGCCCTAATAAACTTTACTAAGGCAAAATATTACCAACTTTGGAGTTGTCACGTAACAGTGTCGACAGTCGTTTACAAGGTTGCCTTGGCGGGCGATTTTCATGACACAGTCTAAACACCCTCTAAATGGACCCAATTATCCGTCCTAGAACAACATCCGGCTCAGAGTGAGTCAAGATAACGTAACTCTTTGGTTATGCTGGGATAAAACAGCTAAACCAAAGCTAAGGAACTGGTCATTATTTATTTAGAGTTAAGAGGGAGGGGGGAAGGGAAAAATATGAAAATATGTTGGAAAGATCAAAATTTCTATAAGACCCCCCCCCCCCCCCCCCTCTCCCATGAGCGTTGTGGTTTCTTGTTGGCTAAACCTTGGACCCTTATCGTAATAGGTTGTCAGGTCTAAATTTAGCTTATCTTGATGGCTAAAATATATATCAGAGTAGATTTGAAACAAGAGCCACAAACTTGTTCAAAGAGTTGAATACTGTTAAAGAAACAAACCATGTATGAATAGGAATCAAGAGAGTAAAAAACATTTTCTATGAATTTTATTCCTCGGGTGTTCATATCTTTACTCTAATTCAACACGATCAGTGTTAGAAAATCTTTGAAGGTCAAATTTTATTCCTTTTCTTCGACCACTCTTAATGACTTAATGTCTCTGACTGATCCTTAGTGGTATTGTCTAACTCTGATTGACTGACAATGAATCCTACACTACACTTCCTTACATTCGCTACCGGTAGGCATGAGCGAGCATGCGAGCCAACTGATCTCAGAGGATTAAATGTTTGATATCGTAACTTTGACCCTACCACTTTCACAAGGATCTCACGAATAAACAACAACACCCTTACCAAAACTCAATTTTGGCTACAAGAACCAAAATAAGAACTTTGGTATGGGTCCATGGTAAACCTATCCATCAACGTATCCGCTTGTTCAGTTACTCATCACTTATTCATTAACTTACTTATACATGTACTCGCTTGCTTGCCAGGGGTGGGTTTTGAATGAGCGTCAAAAGCGCTTTTAAGGCGGATAGTTTTGGTTTTGCTCTCCTTTATTGTGTATTTGGTTATAACTAACGCCTGGCGCAAGACAATTAAATTCAAAACCTAAAATCCACCAAGACTTGAGTTGGTCTGCGTGCGTTTTCCCAAGCTTAAAGACGGTTCACGAGACAGACATTTTCCCTAAGTTTTTAGTAGCTCCTTGAAAATATTCTGATTGGCCTTTGGAGTTATTACATGCATATTTTAATATTGTTCTTGAAGCGCATTTTCTAAAGGCTCTTTGTTACACTACAAAATAGGTCCTGCTGATCGGCAAATTTTACGTATGCACCCAAAGAAACTTGGAACATGTTTGAAGAAGATTTTACTATTTTTAAAATTAAGATATATTTTGAGATTTTTAGCTTTTAAACCAGACTTCACTTTCAGTAATTGTAAGATGGTTCTCTAAGATCTTTGCGATATCAAAACGCTTCATTTCGTCGCCCTTTAACTGTTTAAAAACTTCGTAAACTGTTATGTCTGGTTTCGTTGCCTTCAAAAATTCGACGATCTCTTGTCCAGGAGACTTGCTTGTTGCAAGTGCTCCGATCATGTCTTTAGTCATGCCAAACACATCGGCCACCTGTCTGTTACCTCCAAGACCAAATGGGACATCTTTATCCAGATAGAAAGCTATTTTATCACAAGTTGATAGGTCTACATCTATAAACTTTTTTAGTCCTATGAGGTGAAAGAGACAACTAAATAAATAATCAAAGCTGTTTAATGTGTTGTACAACGACAAGAAAAAAATGAATAAATTCCATGCATCTGAATAAGCGCACCATTTTGAGCTATTTTGAGCACATTTAGATCCAGTCTTTCAAAGAGATTCGTCTTTTATTGTTTTATAGTGTGTGAGAGTTTTAAGACTGGAGGCTTGCATGTAATTTATAAGCAGTTATCTTTCGCAAAAGATAACATGTTCGATTAGGTTTCTTCCTCGGGAGGTTTACCATAGCTAGTATAAGGCACTTGCAGGCTATTTTCACATAAAGGATTTAAGGCATTAAGGTTCTATCACACTTTGAGCAGTTCTTACTTGTTCCTTTCTGAACTTTAGGGACAACATCCAGCCATGCCCGTGATGACTCGCAGTTGATTCCAAAATTTTCTCGAGAGCAAACTCGACATTTGTACCAGCCAAATTCACGGAGCTCAACATTATCAAGGATGAGGATGGCATCGCACTTTCCCTTCAGTTCGGCTCCATCTTTCAGCCACTGATAGGAATATTTATCCTGCTCCTGCACCTTCAACTCGAAAATTACTTCTGAACCTTCCGGTTGTTTTTTAGATTTGGGCTGCTGCTCGATCTTTATTCCGCTCTGCTAGGGTAAATGTCAAAGCTTTAGTTACTGATTTGTTGATTTGTTAAGTGCTGCTACTCTAACTGACTGGCAAATTTGTCCGTCACGTTATAAAAACTTCCGATATAGAATCCTCATGACCAATACGTGAATTTAAGTGTTCTTTTGGGCAAAATGAGACATGAAGTCCCACACAAGTTCTTCGATAATAGTTTTGCCGAAGAGTGTTGGTGAAAAGACTAAACAAGCTGCGCCTATTCACTCATGATACTTTGAATTTACTGGGGGAAGTTTTTTGTTCTTTTCTACAAGGGGGAATACTTATCTAGGTTAATTTGTGATTAAGAGACTCGCCAACTGTACTCTTGAATAAGAATAAATTTTCTTTTCCCTGGCATGAACGAACACTAGAAAACACTTGAAGTAACTTTCAGTGAACTGAAGTTTAAAAATTTTGTATATTTTTTGTATAGAAGTCCACGAAGGCTTGTCATATTACGTTGGGTAGGTCCCTAATGTCTATTTCATGTTGTAGTGAAGATGGACTTTCAGCAGAGCGAAATGATAAAAGTTGTCCTGAAAATAACAAGAAGAACTGTTAGAAAATGAGTATTTATCTTATTTTAAAACAACATCATTTAATCAGAACCTCTCCTTTTTATTAAAAATTTTTTGTTAAGTTCAATTCAAGATATGGCTTTTGTTTTCTTTAATAATCATTTTATAAGCATATCCAACGATATTCTAATTACAACACTGCAAGCATAGACTGATATTCCTTTGGCTTTTACATGGAGACAATTAAATATTTGTTAGTCGCCGGCTGGCATGTCCCCATAGGAAAACTGTGAACAAGGGGGTAACATCCGAGAAAGAGAGCGCTCCATGTAAATACTTCTAGTTTGAGAACTAAGCCCCAAAATTTGAGGTGAAAAGTTGCGATTACCTTCATAGTTTTTCAGACGCTCGATTACGTTGGGTAGGTCCCTAATATCCATTTCATATGGTAGTAAAGGCAGACTTTGAGCAGGGCGTGATGGTGAAAGTTGTCCTGAAAATAACAAGAAGAACTGTTGGAAAATGAGTATTTATCTTATTTTAAAACAACACAATTTTGATCAATCAGAACCTCTCCTTTTTATTATAATTTTTTTGTCGGGTTCAATTCAAGATATGGCTTTTGTTTTCATCAATAAGCATTTTATAAGCATATCCGACGATATTCTAATTACAATACTGCAAGCATAGACTGATATTCCTTTGGGGGACAAATAAGTATTTGTTAGTTGCCGGCTGACATGTTCCCATAGGAAAACTGTGAACAAGGGGTAACATCCGAGAAAGAGAGCGCTCCATATAAATACTTCTATTTTGAGAACTAAGCCCCAAATTTTGAGGTGAAAAGTTGCGATTACCTGCATAGTAGCCAGTTTTTCGGGCGCTCAGAGAAAAGGGGGACTGTGAAAAACAGCCACTTACGTAGGGCATTATTGCATGCGTCTTCACCTGGGCAAATTAAAATTTCAGGTACCACGTTCACAGCGTGAGCGATCGATCTTGCTCAACGTTAGATCAGACGTGATCAGTTAAAACTGAATCCATAGAAAAGTCAAACTGCTCGGTCATAAATCTAACTTTGTACTGATACTTCTGACGTTTATTTACATTCTTTTACCTGTGCACTGTGATGGATCACGGTATACCTAAAGGAAGGAACATTTCAATTTAGAAGTGGAATTATTGTCGTTGCATTCCTATGCATATGAAGAAAACATATCAGAATAATCTTTTAAAATAGTTTTTCTTACCCTCGTTCTTTCCTTAAAAAAAGAAGAAAGAAAAATAATAATGAGAAGAAACAATAAAAGAAGACATTAACGAAAAATCCATGGGATATATTCCGCTAAATTTCGTCAGTAGCCTTCACCGTGTATTCTATTAGTAACAGAAGGTGTTGAGAGAGAGAACATGAAGAAGATCGAGGGAGTAAATGTCAAAGCTTTAGTTCCTGATTTGTTAAGTACTGTTACTCTAACTGACTGGAAAACTGGTCCGTCACATTATAGAAACTTCCCAATTAGGATCGCCATGACCAATAGGTGAATTAAAGTGTTCTTTTAGACAAAATGAGACATGGAGTCCCACACAAGTTCTTCGATAATGGGCTCCTAGATAAGGCTAGTTTTGCCGAAGAGTATTGGTGAAAAGACTAAACAAGTTGCGCCTCCTCATGATACTTTGAATTTACTGGGGGAAGTTTTTTTGTTCTTTTATACAATGGTGGATACTTTTCTTGGTTAATTTGTGATTAAGAGAGTCGCCAACTGTACTCTTGAATGAAAATACATTTTCTTTTCCTTGGCATGAACTAACACTAGAAAACACTTGAAGTAACTTTCAGTGAAATGAAGTTTAAAAATGTTGTATATTTCTTGTATAGAAGTCCACGAAGGCTTGTCATATTACGTTGGGTAGGTCCCTAATATCCATTTCATATGGTAGTAAAGGCAGACTTTGAGCAGGGCGTGATGGTGAAAGTTGTCCTGAAAATAACAAGAAGAACTGTTGGAAAATGAGTATTTATCTTATTTTAAAACAACACAATTTTGATCAATCAGAACCTCTCCTTTTTATTATAATTTTTTTGTCGGGTTCAATTCAAGATATGGCTTTTGTTTTCATCAATAAGCATTTTATAAGCATATCCGACGATATTTTAATTACAATACTGCAAGCATAGACTGATATTCCTTTGGGGGACAAATAAGTATTTGTTAGTTGCCGGCTGACATGTTCCCATAGGAAGCCCCAAATTTTGAGGTGAAAAGTTGCGATTACCTACATAGTAGCCAGTTTTTCGGGCGCTCGAAGGGAGGCTGCGCAAAACAGCCGTCTACATAGAGCATTATTGCATGCGTCTTCACCTTGGCAAATTAAAAATTTCAGGTACTATGTTTGCCAGCGTGAACGATCGATCTTGCTCAACGTTAGATCAGACGTGATCAGTTAAAACTGAATCCATAGAAAAGTCAAACTGCTCGGTCATAAATCTAACTTTGTACTGATACTTTTGACGTTTATTTACATTCTTTTACCTGTGCACTGTGATGGATCACGGTATACCTAAAGGAAGGAACATTTCAATTTAGAAGTGGAATTATTGTCGTTGCATTCCTATGCATATAAAGAAAACATATCAGAATAATCTTTTAAAATAGTTTTTCTTAGCTTCGTTCTTTCCTTAAAATAAGAAGAAAAAAAAAATAATAAGAAGAAACAATAAAAGAAGATAATAACGAAAATCCATGGGATATATTCCGCTAAATTTCGTCAGTAGCCTTTACCGTGTAACCCATTAGTAACAGAAGGTGTTGAATAATTAACGTTTGCGAGAGAGAAACATATATAAAGGAGATCGAGGGAAAAGGAAGAGAATTGGGGTGGGGGATGTCTCTCTATGGCTATATTGCTGGCTTGACTAAGTTATGCATTATTACACTTACTTGTTCATAGAAATGAACATAACCGTCGTCTGTTCCATGATATACCCCTCTAGTGGTAATACGCCCTGCCACGATAAGGTTGAATATTTCTTATCACAATTTTTCCTCTCTGACCTATGCCGAATCTTAATTGAATTAAAGACAATACAGCCCTTTTTGAAGGTCTTCCACCGACTCCAACTAAAGAACAATCTAAAGTAAACGAGGGCTTAAGTTTTGGTCAGTTCGTCAAAGTTCGTGTTTCTAGAATCAATTGCAACTGAATCTGATTAAGTCGTCAGTACGCTCAGTATTTTCTTGAACCTTATTTAAAAAAAACTTATTGAAATCAGAATATTTTAATACCAGCAATCTGCTGCAAAGCTTCGTCAGATTGATTTTTTCTGACACAGTTTAGCCTTTACTTTTTTTAACTCCTCTTTGGAAATGAATTTTTCAAAAATGTTTTTCCATTGTCCCTTATATATATATATACTAGTAAAAATGCAGTCTTATTTGCTTACACGTTCGCATGCACACAATCGAGCAAAAACAAAAATTTTGAGTTTTAACATAATTGGACGTTTACTCATAATGCGCTCGCGAATTCGAAACTTAAATTCTTGCTGTGAATGATATCAGCTATAAACTGTGGTTTATTTTCATTGATTAAATTCCAGAAGCGAAAAGTGAAGGTTAGAAAATTACGGTATTTTACAAGCAACTACCACTGCACTTAGAGAAAGTTTCTCTTGGAAACTTTGTCTAAAGGAAAGTGATGCTTATCCGACAAACTACGTATCGATGCTGTCATTTTATTATTGTTATTATCGTTACTATTAATGTGAATATGAAAGCGATCTATGCAGAAATGAAGACTGCTTGAGCAATTGTGAAATTAAGGATGTTTTCATTTACCACTGCTTTGTTTCTCTCCGTCACTCTTCGAACCTTTCCGACTGTCCATCAGCTTGTCGTGCCGCTTTCCAGAATCGGTATTTTTAACAAGGGAAGGACCGGCTTCACATCTTCCTGGGGAAGCTAAACCAAGGCCAGAACCTTAAAAAAAGGCCTGGACACTGATAATTTCTATGAAATTTACAGAGGATGAAGAGAAGAAACTAAACTGCATTTTACTGTACCTTCATACATTTCGTTGGCTAATAAAAGCGACTAACTTCATTAGTCGTACTTATTTTCATTCAGAATGCCCTGTGGATTTTTGCTTCGCAAATTCTATCAGGCTACGTTTAGCACGGAGTCACAATTGATTCTTGGGTCATTACAAGTTTTGTTGAGTGTGTTCCCTGATACCGTGAGGGCTTTAACCGTGGGAATATTGACTTATAATGTTGTGGATAGGCTTTTTGTCGAATGTAGAACATGAAATGAAAATATTGAGTAGACGAACCGTACACGAACCATTTTCAAAGTTCAATCAATGTCATTCGTTCATGTATACTTTTTTCAAAGGTGGCATTGAATGTCATAAATGGTTTCTACAGCATTTTTATCCTTTAAATTTAACTTACCAGTACTGCCCGATTCCACTTCGTCACTTCCTGAAATTTCCAGACTGTCTGTTATTTTGTCGTGCTCCTGAACATATTCGAGCTGGTCTTCATGAGATTGGCTGGCTAACAGCGGCATTCTTAGCGAAGCTAAGATTATAAAGAAAAACTGGAAATGACATGATTGTCTCACGTCGCTATGAGTTTCCTGAGAAACTTCATGAAAGTTCAAAAATCGAATTTATCTTGTCGAATTTGTAAACCCAGTCTAAATTTAGTTTAGAGGGTAAATGTTTTGTTAAATTCCAGAAGCGAAAAGTGAAGGTTAGAAAATTACGGTATTTTACAAGCAACTACCACTGCACTTAGAGAAAGTTTCTCTTGGAAACTTTGTCTAAAGGAAAGTGATGCTTATCCGACAAACTACGTATCGATGCTGTCATTTTATTATTGTTATTATCGTTACTATTAATGTGAATATGAAAGCAATCTATGCAGAAATGAAGACTGCTTGAGCAATTGTGAAATTAAGGATGTTTTCATTTACCACTGCTTTGTTTCTCTCCGTCACTCTTCGAACCTTTCCGACTGTCCATCACCTTGTCGTGCCGCTTTCCAGAATCGGTATTTTTAACAAGGGAAGGACCGGCTTCACATCTTCCTGGGGAAGCTAAACCAAGGCCGAAACCTTAAAAAAAGGCCTGGACACTGATAATTTCTATGAAATTTACAGAGGATGAAGAGAAGAAACTAAACTGCATTTTACTGTACCTTCATACATTTCGTTGGCTAATAAAAGCGACTAACTTCATTAGTCGTACTTATTTTCATTCAGAATGCCCTGTGGATTTTTGCTTCGCAAATTCTATCAGGCTACGTTAAGCACGGAGTCACAATTGATTCTTGGGTCATTACAAGTTTTGTTGAGTGTGTTCCCTGATACCGTGAGGGCTTTAACCGTGGGAATATTGACTTATAATGTTGTGGATAGGCTTTTTGTCGAATGTAGAACATGAAATGAAAATATTGAGTAGACGAACCGTACACGAACCATTTTCAAAGTTCAATCAATGTCATTCGTTCATGTATACTTTTTTCAAAGGTGGCATTGAATGTCATAAATGGTTTCTACAGCATTTTTATCCTTTAAATTTAACTTACCAGTACTGCCCGATTCCACTTCGTCACTTCCTGAAATTTCCAGACTGTCTGTTATTTTGTCGTGCTCCTGAACATATTCGAGCTGGTCTTCATGAGATTGGCTGGCTAACAGCGGCATTCTTAGCGAAGCTAAGATTATAAAGAAAAACTGGAAATGACATGATTGTCTCACGTCGCTATGAGTTTCCTGAGAAACTTCATGAAAGTTCAAAAATCGAATTTATCTTGTCGAATTTGTAAACCCAGTCTAAATTTAGTTTAGAGGGTAAATTTTTTGGGTCAAGAAGATTTCAAGCATTTAGTTCGGAGCTTTTGTTTGTGAGTTTGAAAATAAGGACGGGTTAATGCATGGAATCTTCCTAATATGCGTTTACGCAGTGGACTCGGAATTTCTAATATCTTCATGTTTTTATAAATATGCTTCTACGCAAATAGAGATTCAAAGTTTTAGGCAGCCTCTTGTAATAACAAATGGTTTAATTTTCACGAAACGAGCCTATAAAACGGCTATCGTCCACAGACAATTTTCAGCATTTTACTGAACAAAACTGGACTGGAAAAACTGGTATCATCCAAGAGAGTGTAAATTTAATATATATATATATATATATATATATATATATATATATATATACTGAGATTCACTCACAATTTTCTTCATAAGAAAACCCGCTGAAAAAATTCTGATGGCCAATCACAGCAGCAAAATGGCTTTCTCACACTTGCGTAAAGCGTGCGTGAAAACTCACACGCTCGCAAAGCCTCGCTCGTTCTTTTGTGAAAACAAACTTCTGCGTAAATATCGTACGTTAGCACTTTCCATGACGAAATCTTTATATAATCTCTAACCTCATCCTAATACTGTTTAACATGCTTGATTCATTTTCGGAGGGTGAGCAAAACTCTAATGCCGAAATGACAAAATAATTACCTTCAGTGTCCACTTTATGCTTTTTCTGTGTTTTTCGAAGTGAACGCCTTTCCTGGCTTGTTGACTTTGATGAGCCAAATAAGCCTAAGAAACGATGAAAAGATGCACTTGTAATTTCCTCATTTTTGCGACCCGGCTTTAAGATTGTGGTGACCATCATATTCACATGAAATGTGACTTTTCCAGGTCACCTTCGCCTTATACGTTAAAAAATGGCTGGTTTGGACAGAGGGGCTTCTAGGCGGATACATAGTGTTCTAATTGGAGAACGGTAGAGTGACGATTTTGTGAGCCAGAGAAATCATAACTTGGTTAAGTTGGACTCAAGTCCAGTTAATTAAAAGTCTAATTGACCTCTCTTGCTTACATCATGTGTTGATAGCAAAGCCGAGAACAAAACTATATAAAATAGGTTTTAAGGGAGTAAAAAACATATAAATACAATGACTTGGACAAAGATCTTACACATCAATCGACCAAATCGTGGCTGAAGATGTTTAGCGAGAGGTGACTTCGCTTGTGCAGCAGTCCATCTTTTCGATGGAGCGATCGGATCTCACCAAGAGCGTTTTGAGCATGAGGCTTTACCCTCACAGATACTTGCTAAAGCCACGTCTTTTTAATTTTGAGTTCTTAGTTTCCAATGAAATTACAAAGTTTATAAATTTAAAAATGTACTTTCACATGCTATGCGTATCTATTTCTCATACTTTTTACATGAAAAGTATCATTCAATAACTGTAAAAAAAAAGTGTGATTACGTAACTTTGCACGGGTTTTTCACATGGGGTTTTTGACACTTCACAACTAATGTGATAAGCAAATGAAATATTGTGTGAAAGGACAACATGATTCACAAGCATTTCCTATGCTCTTCACATGCCTTCCTCATGCAAAATTTTAAACTACACGTGCATGTAAATTTAGCTAAAATTGCCACCTCTTCGCAAAGTATTTTCGCACGCCATTTGCAGTTTTGCTCAGCTCTGGAAGTAATACCTTTAAGCTTCCTGAAAAGCGTTGACCTTGATGCATCCGGCTCATCAAATTTATTTGATGACGACGCTGCTGAAACAAAATTTTAGATAAAAAGATTCAATCGTAGATTTCCTGTTACGACATAACTTAGACACAACGCGTGCTCTGATTGGTCAAAAATCTATTACATGTTTACCCGTAAACCCACGGAAAACTGAAACATCATCCCGTCCTGTCAAATGGCGCCACACGAGGCGAATTCCCAGATTTTAATTTGCTAAAGGCCTTTGGTTTGAATTGTTTTTTCTAACATTATCAAATTTTCTATTTAAAATGTAGATTAACTAACAAGTTGCATCGTTTTAAACCTTTATTTCAATTCGCTGTGTGGTTAAAGTGAAAGAACTTCAGAAACTATTGACCTGAATTCCCCAAAAAGCTCGCCGAGAAGGAAAAGTTGGCACAAACTAATTGCATTCTCATTTGGATATTTCTAAAAATCTTGTTTACATGGGAACAAAAACTACTTGAAAAGTAAATGTGCACTTAAGATTTTAAGGCAATCCCGTTTGCTGTCCGCGATTTTATCTTTTATTGGATACTTTTTGCCAAGTTTATGCGTTTTCGTCACCTTTTGAAAATTTTAACGAGGACTCGATGAAACCTTTAATTTGAGCTGGGGGCGATAGTAACAAATTTGCTCAAAGAAAAATAGTGTACCGCGAGTAAACAAAACAGCTGGACGGCGTTCGAATCTGTGCAAACGGCTCAATGTTGTTGTCTTTCTGTCTATTAAAGAATTTAAAGTTGAGTCCTCACAATGGAAACAAATTTCATCAGTCAAAATTCTTCAACTGACCTTTACTTCGCTGGACAAGTTTTAGAAAATGTTAAAATTGCTTCCAAGGCTTGTGAACTTTAACAACTTTCTGTACAGATTATCAAAGCGCAATTGCAGTGGTAGGCCAATTCTGACCGCAACATCGCGTCTTCTCCGTCTAAATTGAAGTATTCTTCAGCAGCAAGTTAGAGTTTGTGACTTCATCTCACATATCAATCTTTCCTGTTAATTTTCTTTACAATTTCTGCTCAGTTTCTCCGTGCCATTGCTTTCATTCAGCGATCAATCAATTGGATTTTTTCTTTCCTGGCCGGCAGTTCATTCAGTTTCCGGCGCTTTGATTGGTTTCTCGCACTTTTCTGACCGTTTTCATGAGAATCAGCGACTTGATCACAAAATAAGATTAAATTTATCATTGTTATGACAAACTTCACTTATTTTTGTGTCTGAAAGCAATAAACCACACTTCTTATCGCCGAGTTTACAGGCTAATAAATTACTTGAGATTTTGGGAGAACACTCAAAAAATGTGAAAACACTTGACTGCTCCTCGTGGTTTACAAACTTTTTTTGTTCTACCAACATCCCGCTTGGTTTATTAGCCGGCAACCCGGTGATAGAAAGTGTGGTTTAATGCTTAAAGATCCTGAATACTTATGCTACAGGGAGGATGAACCTTCGGGCACTCCCGAATTACCGACCTTAACGAATTGGTGCTTGTTCTTAAGGAAGAATGCAACTAATCTCTCGCGCGAATGAAAAAATTGGCGGCATAGCGTGGCATATCAGTGTTACGTCATCTGAGAGTCTCAGATGACAGAAGAGAACGGTACAAGATTTTCCTACTATTTTGATTATTTTAAAAGAAGTGGAAGGTGAATAGATGCACCATAAGAACCAAGTTTCCTTTATCGTGATACCAAAACCGAAAAAATCGGGCCGATACAATCCTTTGTTAGTTAAACCTTACCCCTAAGTTTTTCCATTTCTTTGACGTTCACGTGTTTTTCCATTTGTCTCTTGCCAGAAGCTTTATTTAGAACAGAAGTCAAACAAAAAAAAAATCAATACCTTTACAAAGATAACTACGATTGAGAGCAACGGCGAAGTATTAAGTAAAAAGCTACTGACGTGTTTAAACCTAGAACTGCCGTGATTGGCTTTTTCGGTCCACCATCAATCAGTGGACTTACGAATGTCGGGTCTGTTGTAAAGAGTAACAGTCTCGCTCAAGAGGGTATACCTTTCAATAGCTCCTTACCTCCACGCTCACTCTTATTCTGCGAAAAATATCTTCTGTCCTTTCTGGAGGTTTTCAGCTCATTTGTTGGTAACTCTCTTTCTCTCCCCCTGGATGCTTGAGTTGGAAAGGCAACAGTTTCTTAGCCATAATGAAGGTGTCTCGATTGGGAGCTATGTGGCAGTAAATTTAACGTTTTGTGTACCATAGCCAATCTTTATGGACAGATATTTGTTCAACTTGGCTCAATTTCAATCAAAAATCAAAAGAAATGCTCACCAAAAGACAAACGTTTCATTGCATTATTACTTCTTAAATCATCCAGCTCCTCTAAAAGCTGTTTCCCCACCTTTTCGGAGTTTTCCAGTTCTTTCCTAAGTGACTCTTTTTTCCTCTCCGTCGATACTTAAGTTGCATAAGCTTAACTCAGTAGCTTAGGAAAAAAGCATCTCAAGGGATATGTTTTCACAACCAGAAAGCGAGAAGAGGTTTAAGGATTCAGGTACAACTGGGTAAACGCACTCTCCTCGCTCGTTCGCACAATCCTGTGTGTTTGCTTGACCCACATTGATACACGAGTAGACCCAAACCAAAAGAAAATGGTACAGTAAGAGAATTAGATCCCCGTCGAGGCGCGAAAAGTTCAAATACACGACCCTTGGAACATCGTTTTGCAATACCCTTATCCTTACCCTAAGCTGTCACGGTTGTCGCGCTTGACACGAGAGATATCATCACTCCACCCGTGCAAGCCCTGCGATAAAAGACAGCGACCACAAGCCCCTAAAATCCATAATTTTCAAACCATTTTCAAGAGCCCTCGGTGTTTGCTGATAACGCTTCTGAAACTCGTAAATGAGTCAAAATGCACGCTTAAAAAAAGAGGTGCTATTTTTTATGTCTCGGTCCTACCCCTAAGTTCATTCATCTCCTGTAGATGCTGTGTTACGGCTTCTTTATATATCTTCACTGGGAATTATGAAAATTATGGAAAATACATGTATGCAATTACCGGTTTTTATAAGCAGATAATTTTTAATTTTACGTCGTAAATCGGTCAAAGGACCGAGGTGCAAGTTTCTATGTCTCGGTCCTACCTCTCAGTTCATTCATCTCCTGTAAATGCTGTGTTACGGCTTCTCTGAATGATTTCAGCTCTTTCGTCATTTTTCCTTTTTCTGTCTCTGTAGACATTAAAGTTCAAAAGGAAACGATGGATTTGCTGTCAAGAAATTGGCTAAAATGAGAGTTATTCAAATACATCAAAGAATCAATTGTATACGATTACGAAGTTCTTTTGGGCAGAATATCTTCCAATAGTTGTCTGAAATCAAAGAAAACGCTCACAAAAAGCTAAACGTTTCACTGCTTTATCACCTCTAAATTCATTCATCATCTCTGAGAGCCGTTTTTTATTTACTTCCCCTATCGATTGAAGTTTAAGTTGAAAGAGCAACATTTTATAAGCTATCATGAAGATGATATCTTCACTGGGAATTATGAAAATAAATGTATGCAGTGACTGGTTTTTATAGGCAGATGATTTTTAATTTAACGTCGTAAATCAGTCAAAAGACACGCTTAAAAAAGAGGTGCTAGTTTCTTTGTCTCGGTCCTACCTCTCAGTTCCTTCATCTCCCGTAGATGTTGTGTTACGGCTTCTCTGAATGATTTCAGCTCTTTCGTCATTTTTCCTTTTTCTGTCTCTGTAGACATTAAAGTTCAAAAGGAAACGATGGATTTGCTGTCAAGAAATTGGCTAAAATGAGAGTTATTCAAATACATCAAAGAATCAATTGTATACAATTACGAAGTTCTTTTGGGCAGAATATCTTCCAATAGTTGTCTGAAATCAAAGAAAACGCTCACAAAAAGCTAAACGTTTCACTGCTTTATCACCTCTAAATTTATTCATCATCTCTGAGAGCCCTTTTTTTTTTTACTTCCCCTATCCATTGAAGCTTAAGTTGAAAGAGCAACATTTTATAAGCTATCATGAAGATGATATCTTCACTGGGAATTATGAAAATAAATGTATGCAATGACCGGTTTTTATAGGCAGATAATTTTTAATTTTACGTCGTAAATCAGTCAAAAGACACACTTAAAAAAGAGGTGCTAGTTTCTTTGTCTCGGTCCTACCTATCAGTTCATTCATCTCCTGTAGATGTTGTGTTACGGCTTCTCTGAATGATTTCAGCTCTTTCGTCATTATTCCTTTTTCTGTCTCTGTAGACATTAAAGTTCAAAGGGAAACGATGGATTTGCTGTCAAGAAATTGGCTAAAATGAGAGTTATTCAAATACATCAAAGAATCAATTGTATACGATTACGAAGTTCTTTTGGGCAGAATATCTTCCAATAGTTGTCTGAGATCAAAGAAAACGCTCACAAAAAGCTGATCGTTTCACTGCTTTATCCCCTCTAAATTCACTCATCATCTCTTAGAGCTGTTTTAAGGCTTCCGTGGAGGTGTCCAGTAACTCTTTTTTGCTCTTTGTCGATGCTTGAGTTAAACAGAACGATGAACAAAAAAACTAAGCGTTTTGATGTCTCCATACCCCTAATTCCATTAATTATCTCTGACAGCTGTTTACGGGCTTCTGTGAAGGTGCGCAGCTCGTTCGTCATTAAATCTTTTTCCCTCTCCCTCAATGCTTGATTGAAAAAAAAAAGCGCATCCATATATTTTGGCTTGAATGGGGGTTAGGATGAAAAATAAAAGTCTTGCGTACCAATCCTAAGTTTTTAATGAGCTTCATCTCGACAAAAGCTGCGTCTTTTGATGTTCCCTTACTTATCTGATCAGCCATCTCCTGTGAGAACTTCTCTATTCGTTGTTTGCAGGTTTCTAGCTCCTCACCAGAAGACTCTATAATTTTTGGGTAAAGAAGTTTCGGTGAACAGAAATTGAAAGAAAGCCTGCTTATGTTTTATTTTTAAACGTATTTCAGGCCATCTATGCCTTCACTGTGTATCAATCAGTCCTTACCGATAAGTTGTCCCATTTTCGTTAAAAGCATTCGAGCGTATCCTACAGAAACCTCTGCTTCTCTACTGAGACAAATATAATTCCACTCTGCAGAGTCTTAATTGGAGAAAAGTATAACAAAATGAAACATAAACTTACATTTATTTACACGCCCGTTTTCAACAACGTTGCAATTTGAAATTATATGAGATATATACACCATTTCTTTTTCCATTAAAAAAGTGCTGACAGAATAGATTAGAGGGAAGTTTTTCAAAAGGGAAGTACAACAGCTAATTTGTTTCTCCTTCGCACAATAACAAAAAAGGTATTGTTCCTTCAAAGAGAAATATACGTGCCTCGTACACTACCGTTTTGATGAGAAAAGGAAAGGTATATATATATATGTAAGCAGCTTAGAATTGGTATACCTAACGATGAACTCCCAGTAAGAGGATCCTCTTTTAGTTTTTAATTTTTAACCTGGAGAAGGCCGAACGGCCGAAACGTCGTGCATTAAACTCGTCCAGAACAGTCAAGAGTTGGCCTCTTCGTTACGTCCTTATAGTACACTTAACTACAAATTCACGTCGAGACATTGTATCCTGTGGATCCTCTTACTGGGAGTTCATCGTTAGGTATACCAATTCTACGCTGCTTGAACATTTTTTCTGGTCTACCGTGCATCTTTTATTAGATCTGATGGCTCTGTTGTCTGGCACACCTGCTTCTCTGCACAACACGTGGCACAAACTGGTTCGTTATAAACACCACAGTAATTTTCTGTTCCGCTGTATCAAGCATAACCGTATTCCTAAAGGTCTTATATTATCATTTGAACTTCAGTTGGTCAAGGAAAATGGCAATCTACTATAATCTTGTAAGCAACATTTACATAATGCTTCCTTTAACATCTTAAAGGACATTTCCGCGGCAGCCTTATCTAAGACCAAAGCCCTTCATAGGAAATTACATTCCTAGCGCGAGCACCTCTTTCGTGATAATGAGGAAACTGCTGCTGCGTGATAATGAGGAAACTGCTGCTTGGAGAGAGTTTAAAGAACAGATGGTAACACTGGAGATTGCTCTGAAAAAGAAAGCGCGTCATAAGTTCTCGCTAGCCACGCCTCTTCATCCATTACAATTGGATCAAACCATACAACCTAGCAACACGAGAAGGAGAGCGCGGCGTTTTAAAAGAACTGCCCAAAGGAATATTAGAATTCTAACCAGAAACGATGTTAACGACCAGGATGTAACAACTGAGTTCAACTTGCCGGACTTGAGTCCTATTAATCTAACCTCGTCTGAACTCACAGATGCGGAATGCTCTCTCCTTAAGAAAGGACCAGCATTTTGTCCTGTGCCTAAGGACGTTAACTGGCAAAAGGTGACTGATGACTTGGAAAAATTTGAAAGGAGAATCCGTCTTGTCGTTTTCTTCCAAGGAAGAAATGCTGAAGACAACCCAAGTACAGCGGATGATCGATTTCCAGCCATTCCATCAGCTTCCCAACGGTTGCCTCCAAAGTCCATTTTTCCGGAAGTAGAAGTATTCTTCAACAATGTGAAGAATGACATCTTCAAGCCTGCCAATTTTAGAACTTCCAAAGACAATCTTACGAGAGAAGAAGAGTTAGCTTTAAGGTCTCTTAAATCTAGTGAAAATATTATTAGAATTCAAGATAAAGGTTCTAGGTTCGTTGTCCTCAGTCAACAAGAGTACCAAAATAAGATACTAAGGCAGCTTAATAATGATTTGCATTATGATAGCTTAGACTCCGACCCAACACTTGACCATTTTGAAGTGGTCAAGGAATGGAGTCATAAGTGGTTCTCTGGGGGGCAGATTAGCCAGGAGATTGCCGCGTGGGTTGTAAATCTAGAACCTAAGCCGGGAGTCGCTTTTGGGAATGTCAAAACACACAAACGTGATAACCCTCTTCGACTTATTACATCCTGTTGAGGTACAGCAATCGAACGGCTTTCTGCTTTTACAGAATTCTATCTCAAACCTCTTTCACAGAGTCTTCCATCTTTTGTTAAGGATTCTACGGATTTCATTAACAAAGTAGAAGATTTGAATGCAAAAGGCCCACTCCCTGAGGGGTCCCTACTTGTGTCTTGGGATGTAGTCTCAATGTTTCCGAACATCGACAACAATCAAGGTATTTCAGCAGTTAGAAGGGCACTTAATTCCAGATCTGTTAACATTCCTTCCACTGATTGCTAGTTGAAGCCGTTGAAATTTGATCCAATAAGATCCCTTAGGAATATTATGATTAATATAATTTAAGGGCCCCTTCAGGGATTTTGTTGCTAATTTGCCCTTTCAGGCTCCAAAGGCCTTGTTTTGGGATTTTGGTACGGTTTACAGTTGTAGGTAAGAGTGGGTCTATCCTTTTCTAATGCTTGCCGCATTGCCTCTTCAGTTGCGCTATTCGTTTTAACAAGTTTAGTTTTTTAGTTTTTAGGTTTTATCACTTGTATTTTGACACCACTTTCTACTCTTTCACGTTATTTTGTATCTTATTTATTAGTTGTCACCTGTAATTACGTAATCACTAGCACCTCAATCTTATTTAAAGCTGGTAACTTTTGACAACCCCTATGACCCAGCTTGATGACCCAACCTGTCTGCATGCGAGCAATTCACAAATACCATCTAATCCTCACTGAAACAGCTCGTTATTTGTGCTTGTGAGGTCACGAAAGTGCCCTGTATCGTGGTATCGGCCACCACAACCTTTTGAATCTGAATTATCAAGACTTTAAAAAATCTGCCGTGCATGTGTTTGACTTTTCAAGTCGATTAAAGGTTTCAGAATGCGGAAGAGGCCCTTTTTGCGTTTTGTAAGTTTGGACAATAAAATTCGAAACTTAACTTTTATCAGTTTCGCTCAAAATTATACTGTACGTAGAACAATATTTTGGCAATAAAAGAAAGTAAACTTAAGTCCAGAATCACCATCCGTTATTTTTTTATGATGATTTAAAGTAACCGATGTCAGAAACGGTAAATGTCACACAAAGTTCCCTATTTGCTAGATGTGACAAATAATTATTTCAGCGTATTTTTTGGAAAGGAAGGAATGATCAGTACCATCAAATTGTACAATAGTGCAATAGTAACGGGCTATTCAAGTTGCAAATTTGTTTGTTGCATGGATGGATCAGTGCCGAAAATATGGTGAATTACGACCATGATGCGCTTACGGTAGTTTTTGTCCCGCCGGAACTGTTTACTCTCCAAGAAGTGCGTTTGATATTCACTGCTCCTGACAATGGGTCAGACAAATTAGTGTTTTTATCTTCAAGTGGAGAGTCCATAGTTTTCAGTCAAATCAATAAATCCATTAAGTCCATGTAAAAGAAGGCCGAAGTCGAGGGCACGTCAAGCTGTACGTCATTCAGAAAATTCGCGGTGTCAAGCGCACACAGCAGCAGCCACAACAATGAAGCAAGGGGAAACCTGGCGGATTTGATGGCCCACAATGTTTCCACTGCTACGAAATATTATCGATTGCGAGAAAAATCGAAATCCTCCGTCCTGGCTTCGAAACACTTGCGTCAAGTCATGCGTGTGGAAGACGAAAGCCCAAGCATTTCCACTATAGACGAGGGTGAAGCTTCAAAATGTTCCTGGCAAAAGCCAAGAAATGATAATAAGAGATCTGTTTAAAGAGGAGATCAAGGGGAAATCCGTGACAATAAAAACGGTGAGGGAGAAAATAGCTGAAAATGTGCAGCTGAAGGACGGGAACCCTATGAAGATTCTAGACAAAGTTCGAGGGATTTGGTGTTTTCCTTCCTGACACAATCAGAGCCTGTGAACCTCCCTGACGAACAAGAGACACTTAAAGAAAGAGTGAAGAGATCTCTTGACGTCGATAAAAACCGACCTTGGGAAATACAGACCAAAACAACAGAGGTAAGTGATGTTCGTTACCTATTTTCATCTTTGGAGCTTGATCGGCTGAGAGCTATGTTTAAAGAAATGATCACGACATCTGTATCAATCTCAAAGCCTAAGGTCAAGGAAATTCTTCAAAAGGAAGATAGGGCATAGTAACTCTTACAAAAATCCTCGTTAGAAGCAATAATTAATCGCATTTAAGCATTTAAGACAGCTCAAAATTAGAGTTGTTTTTATAATTGTTAACAGTTGATTGAAGTCTGAACAAATGTGTCGGATGTGCTGTTATCAAGTGTCTTAAGATTTTCTGGTGATTTTGCGTTCA